AATTAGAAAATGATCAAAGGGGTCTTGTTGGTTATGTTCTTCTTAATCACTGTGAAGACTTCGGTTTCTCGTCCATTCGCATGGTCGAGGGGTAACATGCCACCAGGCCAAAACTACCAAGGCGACAGTGGGTCGGGTCATGGGCCCAATTGGGAGTACAACTGGGGTTGGGGCTCTGCTCCAGGATCCGGATGGGGTTACGGGGCGGGTTCGGGCAGATCGCCCACAGGGTGGGGAAGAGGATCAGGATACGGGTATGGATCCGGATCCGGGTCAGGTAGCGGATATGGATATGGTTCTGGAGGTGGTGGAGCACGTGGTGGTGGGTATGGTTACGGAAGCGGAAATGGTCGGTCTGGTGGCGGTGGCGGTGGTGGTGGTGGTTCCAATGGTGCAGTTGCCGCTTTGAGCCAAGGTAGTAAGTCTCATCCGTGATGATGTTCGGTAATCTTCTCCCAACTTAACGGTTTTGGGAGGGGTATTTAAGTGTGTGTAATATTAAAGGTTATTAGGTTTGGTACTACCCTTTTTAAATGTAAACCTCCTTTGTCTTGTATGCTTTATATATGGATTATGTGCTCGACATATCTTATAGTGTACGTCTTTGCAATATGTGTCTCTAAATGTGTGATCTCTTTCTTATAGTGGTTTTTTTTGTATGTCTTTAAAGGCGTGTTAGGTAATTAAAAAGAAAAAGTGTTTTAGATTTGCATTTAGTTCGACTGGTAAGAAACTTATTACACGGTTCTACAAGATTTATATTCGAATATAAGTATATAACGACAGATTTTTTTTTTCATTAATTTGTTTAATCACTGTGAAAAAACAGAAACGATAATTAAGTTTTTATCAGATAAATGGTTGGTCTTTATAAAAAAACACGAATGGCAATGTGCTGCATGCAGCATGCATGATGCATATATACACATTAATTATATAATCAAGCAGCAGCGAGTTGCTTCTTGTTGTGATGAGTAGATAACGAGTCTTCCTCATATGGATTCATCAGAAGTTTTGTCTTAAAGAAACTTCTGGACGAAAGAGAAGGTTCAAGAAACAGAGACTTCATCTTCATCAACATCACAACTTCTCTCTGTAGAAAAGAGAAATAGTTATTGAAAGTAGAAACGGTTACGTTTAACTGAAACCCGATTCCGAACAAGAAGTCAAGCTCAAGCATATTCATCTCTTCTCTGCTGATTCCTCCAACTTTAGCATAATATCCATTATTGTAAGACCTAAAATTGATTTATCAAAAAAATAACATATTTAAATTTTAAAAAAAAATTACTGCTAATTACTTAGTGAATTTCAAGAAATTAGCCTCGGAATCATTTATTTACTTACAAATCATCCATGAATTTAGCAGAGACCAAGACACTTGTGATAATAAGCCTATGAACATTAAAGGAATCGATGAGCAAAAATGGCTGCTTCTTCACCAACCGATCCAAGTATATATACGCGACGATATAACACGAGCAGCTGCAATTCGCGTACTTGAAGATCCTCTCGAGATAGCTTCTGATTGAGATGGAAGGTTTTGTTAATCCATGGAAGCTTGAGATCCTCTGTTTCTGGCTCAGATGGTCGTTGGTCTCCGATACCTTCTGCAAGAGATACGACATTGCCGTTATGACACTTGGCATCATCTCCGACATTGGTTCTTCTAGATCTTGATCCATCGTCTGGATCTGAAACTGATCAGCCATTCGATGGATGGAAGAAAAAAAAAAGCAGAGCTCTGTTTATTACATTACGTGCTTTTGGTTTCTGTCTTTTGCCTGTTATTTGGAGTGTTTATATACAAGGAATTAAAGATTGTAGATACATTGATTTTTTTTTTCTTTCTATATTAATATTTTATACAGCTACTGTACTTGGGTTAATAATAGGGATATATATACATATCTATGTATTAGTTGTAATATATTAGATGTTGAACTACAATTAAAACATAGGGAGGGCAAGAGTGAAGTCCTAAACAAGTTACATGATTGCAGCTAATATTGTCTAAACTAGAATTAAACACTCATAACCCAAATTATTGAGAAAGAAGTAAGAACATACATGCAATAATAGTAACTTCAGAATTGGTTTTCCTTAGTTATTTATTGGTAAACCCACCAAACTAATTGCCCCTTATTTTTTTCATCAGATTACTATTTTCGTTTAAACTCTACTAGAATGTGTGTGTACACACAGACATTCAGATCATCTTTAACCACTACTACTCTAAGAGAATAGTATAATAATTACAGTGAGCTCATACGGTTTTAATACAAGAAAGAAATTTAAAAGGTCAGAAACTAGCACAATTTAACTTCAACTTATAGCAATAATTAAGATTCACGAACGTCAACTAAAAGGTAAGAAACTTCTTTGAGTCGACGTTCGTGAATCGTGAGATTTAGTTTTGGAACAAAATAAAATCGTATCTTAAATAGAATAATCCTTTATGTTCGAGGAATGGGACAAAATGGATGAACTTTTAATCATAGCTTAGCATCTAATTGAAATGGAAATGAATTATGGGCGATTGAGAGAGAGCCACGTAAGAGAGTTGCGAGCCTGAACTAAAGTCGTGCTATTCACGTTAAGAAGGATAATGAACAACACGTTGTCCTAATTTTTTTTTTGTTATCACAAGCTCACTGTCGCTTCTGTCCTTTTCACTTGCTTGAGCGACTACTTTATTCTACTGAACGGTGCTTATTTTTGTTACAATTATTTTAATCATATTAGTTGAGACTTGAGACGCATTAATCCAAAAAAAGAAGAAGAAACTGATAAAACCTACAAAGTTTACCAACCCTCAACGCCATGTTTTAGTTCAGTTTCACTAGCGGTTTGAAAGTAAAAAGAAGAACAATCCAATATCATCCAAACAATACTTACTAAAACTACCCTAAAAGATCTGAACACTCAAACTTTTATGGACAAGACAAGTTTACACAAGTGGCCTCAGCTTCTTTATTTTAAACGAGAATTGCAATCGCTACACACAAGAGCTATATATAGTCTATAGATATGTGAAAGTATCATCTGCTTTTGGGTAGAAAGAAACAAGGCTTCTTTACCCGTAGCAGCGGATAGGGTCGTTGCAGCCTTTTGCAGTGGATTGCTTGAGACCGAACCGCCCTCCTTTAGACAAGTATTGCTGGTGATGTTCCTCAGCTTTGTAGAATTTCTTAGCCGGTAAGATCTCTGTCACAATCTTCCTGTCCACTTGTTGCTGGTGACGCTCCAGTGACTCGCGTGCTAGTTTCTCCTGCTCCGGGTTGTAGAAATATATCCCTGATCGGTATTGTGTTCCCACATCGTTTCCCTGATCAGTTTTTGGATCCAAAATCATCAAGACAGAGAAACCATATCGAACCCTATTGCAGATCGAGTGGATGTCATGACGAAAGGAGACAGAAATGGTTACACCAAGCAAGAGTATGAAAGTTAAGATATAGGATTCGATCAGTATATGGATTTTGTGCGGATGAATGTCATAATTAAGAAGTCTTATGCTCAAGAAGCTCCCTCCAAGAAGGAACAATGATAATAAGAAGAAGATTAACAACAACATTCAGATATTTCTCTATTACAATCTAACCGCGTCCAAAACAAGGTAGCCGCTTTAAAATATATACGTGTATGTCTCTGTTCAGCTTCAAACATCAAAACCCAAATTTCTACTAACAGAACATGAAAAGATACCAAAGTATCCCCATATCAATTACGTAAATTTAACAATGAACTAGATTCAACATCAATCTCTTTAGCGTTAATTTATCTAACTTGCAGCCTCATATTCCAGAGGGATGACAAAATGCTCCTCCAAATCAAAATACAGAGTGTTTGATGTCATTAGATAAAAAGTCACAGAATTACCCAAAATCAAGCAAGTCCTAGAGAAGACAAAGTTTCAGGAACATAGTTCACATCAGAAATACATCTCAATTTCAGAGCAGCAAACCACAAAAAAAAAACCCTAGAGATCTTCGTAAATCTCAAAAATTAGAACTCAGACATCAGAAGAGCAAAATTGGTACCTGGCGATTCAAGGTGGTGGGATCATGCCTAGACCAGAACAAATCAAGGAGCGACTCAAAGCTACAGTCTTTGGGATCATACTGAACACGAACAACCTCGGCGTAATTCGTGGTGCCCGAGCAGACATCCTTGTAAGACGGACTGTGAGTGATCCCCTGAGAGTACCCGACCTCGGTCTGAGTCACTCCCGGAACCCTCTGGAACGCTAATTCGACGCTCCAGAAACAACCGGCGCCGAATTGAGCAAACTGGTTTCCCGGCGCCGGAGCGTCGTCGTCGAGGCCCTGTGCGATCGGAGAAGGATCCATGTTGGTTTGTCTACTAGAAGATCCCAAACCGAGCTTGTTAAGTATGTTCATGGCGAAATTTGTAGAGATAGAGAAACAAAACAGAGGAGAGTGGGTTTTAGTTGGAGAGGAGGATGCGTAGGCTTATGCTGTGGAGTGGTTAACTGAAAGATTTTTCGGATTTCCTACGAAATACTAATTTCTTTTTTTATTATTTAATCAACGGTAGAACAAAATTTGCGTTTGTGTTTTCAATTTTTGATTTCAATTTGATTGTTTAATAGTTCATGTAGCTGCTATAGACTAACAATACAAATACGTGTAATTTTAATATTTATATAGCTATATATCATCGTTACACGTCTATTGATTTGCATCACTTATAGATTATTGGCTGTCAAAAAATAAAAAATTGCATAGAGTGATATACAAAAAAAAAGAATCTAAAAAACATGTTATCGTCGCCAGTCTGAAAAGAAGAAACGAGTGAGATTAGACAAAGTCCATAGGCTCTAGATTCGCAATAAAATCCGGAAAGTTTTTTTGCTTAAATATGTATTTTCTGAATTAACGAATTACTAAAAAAGTAACAGAGAAACTGATGATGATCTAGCTCGTTTTACAAAACCATCAACATCCTAAAGAGTATCGTAAAAAGCAGAACAAGATATGTACAGATCAGCGAGCTGGAACCGCGTGCCGGAAGACTACTCGTCCGCACCGCCCAAGGGACTGTGGATGGGCTCCATGGTGGGTCCCCTCGAGGAGGAGGAACCAGCTTCCTACAATAATCCACCAGAGGAGATGGTTAAGAAGGACAAGTCACGTGCCAAGTTCGCAGAAAACGCTATTCACATCATTCCTTTTGTCCTTCTTGCATGCGCTCTCGTCCTTTGGCTCTTCTCGAATCCAGGTACAGCTAGTGAACCAAGAATAATGGAACTGATCGTGCGGTTTCTTTTTATGCAACTGGAAATGTTAGTCTCGCTGCTTCTTCCCATCTCTTGGCCTCACGAAATGTTCACTTTGTGCAGATGTAGATGTTGGGATGAGAGAGGAATCCATTGCCGCTAGGATTGAAGGATTGACGATCGAAGGAGACATCGACAACGACAGCGATGGAACTCAGACTGGTTTCTTGGGCGCCACCTTAGAACTCGGTGTTGATTCAGACAAACCACACAATGTTGATCGAAACAGACGAGCTTCAAGGAAACTGATTAAAGGTTTCTACTAGTTTATAATAGAAGACCAATGAAACAAAACTAATTTGTTTTTCGTTCATTTCGATTTTAATCTAGAGTACCAAAACTATGAATTTTTGTTTTTGGTTAATAAAGGAGCAGCTCAAATATCTTATCTATATAAAAAAACTTGTACATAAATCCGATGACAAAACTTCTGAATATAGATATATATATATATTCATATAAAACTCAAAACCAAATTGATCTACCTGTGTATATATAATATATATCAAATAAAACAAAAAATGCGGTTTCATTTCACATGAATGACGCCATGTGCCGCCATGTCGGTTGCTCCGGTAGCTTGTGGAGGAGAAGGAGGTGGAGGCAAACCGATATCAAGTTCCAAATCGTCTTTCTTTACCATATGAGAAGCTTCAATATTTGACTGAGATTGAGGCGTACCAATCGGTATATGCCTTGGTATAGGTATACCGGAGGGGTGAACAAACCTAATTTGTTCAGGATTGGCATAGTACATCGGATGGAACATAACAGATGGAAAGTTGTAGTAAGGTGGTATGGGTTGGTGGTGGAAGACCGGCATGTACTCCATTGATAGATTCTGAAACCGGTTTGATATCTCGGTTTGAGTTTGGACTTGTACCGGCGGTTCTTGAGGTCCGGTTACTGGTTGTTTAGATAGAGTCTTGGAAGATGATGTGGATGCATCCGTCGTCATGAACTGAGAGTTCTTCATTTTCTCCTTCTATTTAATTAACCAAAAATTAAAACCCTAAAAAATATCAATAGATTAATCGATGACTTTGGGAGCAAGGCAAAAACCTGATCTTCGAGAGAGATGTCAAAGAGACTAGAGCGTCTTTTTCTCTTGTCGTTAGCATTTAGCCTAAGAAAATATTTCTGAGCATGACTTGCGACTTGTGTTGGTGTTCTTGTCGTCACGAAAGTCTTTGAGATTCCTTTCCAATCTCCTTTTCCGAGTTTCTTCAATCCGACTAAGAAGATCCGATGTTCTTCTTCCGTCCATGGCTTCCCTAAAAAACATTTAGATTTTTAACGTGTAAACCTCTTTTCTTATAATTTCATAGATCGAGATTTAGAATAAAAATTTACCCTTTTTCTTATCATGAGCGGATATCCCCTTTTTAGAATGAATCTGACCATCGGAATGATAACCGGTATCTTCAGCGGTGGCGATTGGATCACCGTTACTGTTATCGTCAGCCAGAAGAGACTCGAGGTTTCCCAAACTGAGAGTCTTCCTTAACGCCGTTACCTCAGGCGGCGACCTAATCGGATCAGACGATATAGTAACGCCGAACAGCTTAACGGTTCCTTTATTAACGACGTTAAGACAAGTCCGTGCGTTGTGACCATTGTGGCCACAGTGCGAACACGTCTTCGCCGTCGTCACCACCTCCTTCACCATCTCACCCCGATCTCTCTCGGTACGTCACGCAAACTGGAATCTCTCAAGATCTCTCACGAATTGTATTTATATCTTTGATCTCTGTGTGTGTAGTTATGGATATGCGTGAGCTGGCTTTTGTGAATGTTTTTAGGGTCTTGCCATTTTTTTACATTAAGAGATAAACCATTTCCTTATTTATCTTCTTTTATTTGGAAAATATTACCGTAGTTATTATAAGAAAATATCCAGCAGAAACAGCGTAAGATCATAATCGACGGTTGAGATTTCTTACGTTAGTCTTTGCGGAGATTTCAGCCGTTAGATTGTTTTCCAGGTAAAGATGTACTGGGTATTAATTCCGGGTATATAGCTGAGATATTAAATCGTATATTCGGATTTTTATTTATTTATTTGTTTCCTAAGTTACCTAGATTTTATCAATATCTATTATCCCAATCTTAATGCAGTTGGCATTTGCCTTTACCTTAATTATCCATTACTAGTTCAAGATATATGTAAAATGTATGTTTTTTTTTGACGAAATATGTAAAATGTTCTATCACATACTGTATTTTTTTTTTTTTTTTTTTTTTTTGCTAAAAATTATCACATATCTTCTTCTTATCCACCGAAAAGAATCATGTCGACAAGGAATTTGATTGAAAATCAGTGGTTTCCTATAATCTTAAACAAGTATATATGACCAACATTTTATCTTTAACTTTCTCTTAACAAAACTATGTTATGATATATTACTATCTTTATGAAAAGATCATTATTTGAATAGCCTAAACGCGTTAAGATCAAAACGAATTGGAAATTTGGAGTGATTATAAGGAAATAAAAGATATAGTCACCGTTTCATTATTTATTAGGGAAATTTGTTTCCTAAGCTTCACCATCCGATTGTTATGGTTGTTTATTTGTTTATTTTTACAAAAACATTGCAATGTAAAAAGTGGTATATTATTTCTAAAATAACAAAAAATGCGATAACCTATATATTTACAATTTAACTACGTGGAACCCTAGGTTAAGGTGCGATAACTTGCGATATATATACAGTATACACCAACCGATCCTTTTAAGCAGTCGCACTCTGCTGTTTGTTCTCTCGGTAACTTACGCATCTTGTCGCTTACCATCGTCACAACCAAGCCGTAGAAACTCTTTTTCTCACGCTCAATCCTCATCGATCAGTCTAAAAATGTAAGCATTGTATAAATTTCCTACCATTTCCTATAGCCTGTCTGTGTACAACTCTGTTTTCCTTAATCGTTTGTGTACAACTCTCATCATCTTTAGTTTTACATAGCGTCTTGATTTGGTCCATAAGACAACGCCTCACCCTGGAGAAGGGATCTCCTATGTAGGGGTGATAAATCATGCCATAATTTTGGCGCAAGAATAGAGGATTTCTCTCGCGTTCGGATTCTTATTTTATCATAGTTTTCTAAAAATTCAGTAAAATTCCTTAACGTAACGTAAGCCAACCATTTGATCTTGTTGTTCCAGTTCGTGACAGTCTAAGCTGCAACACATCTCTACGCTTTTTGATAGGGTCTTCCTTGATGAACATTTATTACCATTAATCACTGCTTCTGCGTCAACAATCTAATTATTTGAGGAAAAAAACATGAACTTGAAACCTAACTAAAGAATACAAAGCTAAACCACCACTAGGACAACTTGAAAAGTAAATCATAGTCTAAATCATCTTGAGCCAAAGAAGCAAAAAAAAAACAAAAAAATAGAAACCTTTGGCAAGTTGAAGCGTAAGCTCCTTCGTGGAGCCAACGAAATCATCAAATATTGTAGCCGTGGCCGTTGGCTTTGACGAGTGGTCGCTCCTTTAGTCACATATATGGTCAGACAATTCAACTTCATTTCTTGGATGAAACAAATTCAACATTCAGTATGTAGATAATCTAATTGTTAAAAAAAAAATATAAATAATGTAGATTATATATTTATTTTATAGTTTTCAATTTTTTGCCGCAACCATACATGCTGATTTTTCTTGTCGTTTATTATTTCTAGGCTAACGAAATTATATTCGATATGAATGGTGATACAGACTAATAAGAACATTACAGTGAAAAAGAAAAATAGTAATAGATAGATGTGATATTGGGTCTTTGACATCTTTAGACTTTGAAAGCCTTATTAATTGGGTTTTCAACTGAGAGAGAGACCCAAGGTTCAATATGCTTTCGCAGGGACCGATCGAGTAACACATCATAATCTCCAACTACCAGAACGTACCAATACCATGACCCTTTTCTAAAACTAGACACAGAAAGTAAGCGTGCCATCTTGTCTACTCTTCTTCTTAACCACTCCAAAAACTCAGGCTTTTAACGCTATTTTGTTAGTAATGGTAAACAAATGGTTGTTGAATGACACAAATTATGGTCTCGGTTTCTAAACCGGATCTTCTCAACCATTGACGCCAAATAACTTCACATCTTTGAAATATGCTAATATTCTCAAAGCGTGGAATCTTAAAAATTTATTTAGTCATTAACATATGATCAGTATAATTTGACATATTTGTCGTAGTGTGCTCTCATTGAGGCTAATAGTTAAATTCAAAGTAGCCTGATGGAAAGTGGAAAAAGAGAGAAAAAAAAAAGAACTTTGATAAGGTTTCAGAATTCATTTGACTCCTTAAAAATTGGATAAATTTCAATCAAACAACTACAGTTAATTAATCTCAATAACTTCTGTGTATAGACCAAAAACTTGAAACTCTGTATATTAAAAAGTCTAAAACAAGTCATCATGATAACTTGATAAGTACTTTTAAGTGACAAAAAGTCCATGTAGAGGAATAAGACAAAAGAAGGAAAAAAGAAAAGAAAAAAAACCACAAAATCTAAAAGATAAAGAAAACAAGTCAGAAGTCCACTACAACTCCAAACAACACAAGGTCGTATGATCTTTCTCGGTCCGATCCACGAAGCTCCCTCGAACCCTCTCTTGCTTTCCGAAGCTTTCACTGCTATATATTACCAAATTCCTCGTCACTCTTCTTCACACTTCCACACATACACACAGTCACAGATATAAAGATCAAGAGTGTTAATTAAGTTAGATGGCGGCTAAACAAGAAGCTTTAGCCATCGAATTCATAAGCCAACATCTTCTCACAGATTTTTCATCCATGGAAGCCAAAGTTTCTAATTTTACCCTTCACGAAGCTGACCCATCTCTGTTCACCTACCAAATTCACAACTTCCACTCAGAAACAAGCCCTAGAACCACCAACAACCAACCCCCTAAACAAAACTCAACTCTTAACCGGCGTAAACCGCCCTTACCGAATTTATCCGTACCGAGAACGGTCTCCGGTACAACAAAGATAACTGAGGAGGAAGAGGAGGAGAGGCACTACAGGGGAGTGAGGCGGAGGCCATGGGGAAAATACGCGGCGGAAATTAGGGATCCGAACAAAAAGGGTTCTAGGATTTGGCTTGGGACTTACGACACGGCCGTGGAAGCTGCAAGAGCTTACGACCAAGCGGCGTTCCAGTTGCGTGGGAGAAAAGCAATCTTGAATTTCCCTCTCGATATTAGGGCTACTTCCGAAAGTTATTTTGAGGATGGAGTCGTCGGATTAGGGAAGCGAAAGCGGGTCAAGAGTTCTCCAGCGGTGAAGGAAGAGGAGAAGGCGTCATCGGTTAGGGTGAAAGTTGAGGAAGAAGAGAGTGATACGACGACAGAGACAACGGAGGCTGAGGCTGAGGTTGAGGCGGTGCCTTTGACGCCGTCAAGTTGGATGGGGTTTTGGGATGTGGGAGCAGGAGATGGGATTTTCAGTGTTCCTCCGTTATCTCCGACGTCTCCGAACTTCTCCGTTATCTCCGTCACTTGAATGAACTTCGGAAAAGTCAACGGACGATGACGTTTTCACTTACGTCACTCTCATAAATTTATTTGTTTATTATATAATATTGTTAGCGGTAGTGTACAAATATCAAACTAGTGTCGTACCAATCATTTTATTCGTTTATTTTTTATAGAAAAAATGTGAATGTTGAAAATCTGAAATGTATTTTGTATTTGTCGATGTTCTTATAAATTTGTTGATTGTATAAATTTATTGGCCATTATAACCCCACATCTGCGAAATAGCTATTTCGTGAAAAAATTCTAAAGTTGGATCAGAAAAAATTAAATCGGAGATAGAAAAGTTATGTAAGAAAAATCCATGTCGTGAAAAATATAAGTAATCACTAATGTATGGTAAATAAAAATATAAGTAATCACTAATCAGTCGTGAGGAAGACGGGAAAGATCCAGGTCGTGAAAAAAACTATAATTGTTTGGATAGATGATGTCATATATGATGAATATATGAGGTTTATGTATTTTTGTCACGCGAAGTAAAGTATTTATATGCAAACGCCCCCACACGAGGGACTTTTTGGTACTCTTTCACAAAAATCGATCCTACTTTAGTAGGAGAGTCCATCGAGAATCGCATTTGATGAGATCTTGTAGTAGATGTACTTGGACCAATTGGATTTTGCTCCAACTATAACACAAAAATTAAAGTAGCAATGAGTAAAATATTGCTATTACAATTTTGTTTCGGCAATTGCTATTTTGTTAAGTCAAATTTTGTGGCAGGGCTTGTTTGTGTGTATGTTAATTTCTATGTATAGATAAATATTTAAACTACTTATTGAATTAGTTCCAAATGTGAAAAGAAAATATTTTCGTTTCTTCAATAAAAACTTGAACATGAATACTATAGACTATAGTACCTTTGATATCTCAGTGATTGTTTGTCCTTCCTCCGCGTGCTTAACTCCTCCTAGCGACTTGTCTTCCTTCGCCCCATTATCTCTTTCCGAAAAATTCTCTTTTTCTGACGGTTTAACTTCCTCCGTCGGATGTTCTTTTCCCGGCGGCTTATCTCTTTCCGGCGGCGTATCTCCTCCTGGCAGCTTGCTACCTTTGTCCTCTTTAGGCCGAACTCCACGTACATGCAGATTATATGCAAATTGCTCTTCTTTCCTATATATGTGTATCAAACATACACACAATTTTTACGAACATTACAAAAAAAGGTAATTCATTTACGAAAGAGGTCACATAAAAATAACAAATAAACAAGTTTTATTTTCGATGGCCGAAACATTTTTGACATACGTTCTATAATTTGGTTGTTGTTTTGATTACAGATCTGTGAGAAAAAAATATGTTAAAACCAAACCAAATCGTAACTTGGTAACCATTTATAAAATCATTATTTGTTTCTTCAAAAAGGCTAAATCGGTGGTGAACGAAAAGATAAATGATGGTTGTAATATTTTTTTTTTTATAATAATTCCTTTTTCTTATTTTATCAACCAACCATTCAAGCATTTAAAATTTTAGAAAAAATAAAATTTCAAAAGTTTACGAGGGTTATATGTATGATACCATAATAACCACACATTTGAATTTACACACAAACCAGACGTAGTGATGCGCGTATATATAATAATATTAGAAGAACAAACCGCAAATATTTCTTTCATGCAGCCGATCGAAAATGATTAAAAGCCTTAAAAGAGCTAACCGATTAATACTTATTTTCAAGGTAAAACTCTTGATTAATTACTTGTAGAACCAGACGAGGAGGGCGATCGCTGATGCTCCGAGGCTACCAGAAGCTAAGAAGAACCCCGTGGCCAAGAAACTCGAAGTGATTACCGCCGGTACGAGAATCGGGATAAGAAATACAAAAATCGGCGTCATAAGCGTTAACACCACTGCCGTACCGGTAAGGGTTATACCGGTGAGGATCATGAGAAATACGGCGGATATACCGGCATAAACAGGCGGTTTATCTTTTGTGCCGAGAAAATGCATTTGTAGTAATATAAATTTTGGTACGATTTAGAATTGAAGAGTGGGGTTCAGTTTTGGAGGAGAAAATGATAGTGTCTACGTCTACGAGACACGTGTCGGAAGAGGACACTAGTCCATGCATGCAATTGAGACCTTTGCGAGTAGCGAATGAATTAGTTGCCTACGTCACGTTAATTCGTTTTCGATACTCTTTAGCTTGTAGATTGAACTTCTTCGTCGTGTCGACAATTTCCCTTTTTTTAGGAGATAAAATCAAAGAAAACTTGATGTTACTTACAAAAGCTTTAGAGCAAAGGAGTTTCACAACAACAAAAAAATATCAACTATATATATATATATATATAGGAGCTAAAATGACTCACTAGTCCTTGACATCGTTTGCGAGAACATGGAGCCAGCTAAGATAGAGTGTCAAGAATTATGCGCATATATGGTCTGTCGAAAGACTGCATCCGCAAAATTTCCTAAATTACGAAATGAATTTGATTGTACGAATCTGCAATATATCCATCGACACAATTTTTCAGCAGAGTGTTCTAAATTATGAAATGAACTTTTCACTCTTAACTATTAAATTAAACTTTCAGTTACTAAACCGGGAAAAAATCTTCAGAACTTTCGGTTACTATTCGAGGATTTGGACTTTAGAGTAGAACATACTTTAAGTTACCATATAGAATACTAAATATGATTAAAAGACGTATCTAAAAATAGACACAACAAATATGTGTCTACGTTACCATATAAAATACTAGATGTTAGAAATAGAACGTATCTGACACTAGACACAGAAAGTACGTGTGCAAATTTTTTTTTTTTTTTTTATATACTTTCATTGATGCTAATAGTTAAATTCAAAATAACCTGATATAAAATGGAAAAAGAAAGAGAGGAAAAACAAAATAAAAAAAATTTGGTAAGGTTTCAATTTTTTTTTTTATTTATAAAAAGGTTTACTAAACTGCTAAGTAAGAAAAAATAAAAAATTTCTAACGTTAATATCTTCTCTACAAGCAGCATGGAACATGTAGGAATCCCCAAAGCATGTTGGAAAAATGTTCCCACCAATTATCTTCTGAAAAAAAATAATATAAAAATTTCTTTTAAGTCACCGTACTATTAGGAATAGTATGAACATGTCCATAAGAATCCAAATAACCACTAAAAGACTACCTCAACAGATGCTTCGCCTATTTTTTCATCATCAATAATCCATCGTGATTGCTTTACATTTCTGGAGTACTGCAAATACAAGATCTTAACGTCCTCCAATCGGGATTATGGATTGTTTTAAATTTTGATATGAAAACAAAGAGAACATGTATCTCTCACGATCAGAAAGAACTCAGTAACTGGACTATATATTTAGATTGATGTCACAATTATGCAACACAATCAAGTTACATTAATTAATTTATTTGGCAATCTAAAGTTTTTATCTACGACAAATTGATCGTATATATCTATACAATTCAAAAACTTATTTCAATATAAATTTTACTCTAACATGTTAAAATCTTGGATAGACGAAACAAAATGTTATATTTACCAAATTAATTAGAAACTAACTGTTTTACATTATGAAATGAAAATAAATGGAACATGCATCTCTCACGATTAGTAAGAATCTGACTGATCTGCGTGTTCAGATTAATTTCACAACTATGCAACACAGTCAAATTAAACTAATTGATTCATTTGATAATTTAAAGTTTTTTTATCTAAGACAGATTAATCATAGATATATATATATATATATATATAATTCAAAACCTTATATATCAGTCTAAATTTTGTACTCTAAAATGATTGGATCATGGTTAAATAGGACAAAAATGTTATATTTGCCAAATTAATTAGAACCCAATTATTTTACATTATGAAGTGAAAACAAATGGAACGTGCATCTCTCTCACGACCAGTAAGAATCTGACTGGACTGCATGTTCAGATTGATTTCACAACTATGCAACACAATCAAGTTAAACTAATTGATTCATTTGACAATTTAAAGTTTTTATCTAAGACAAGTTAATCATATATATCTGTACAATTCAAAAACTTATATCAGTCTAAATTTTACTATAAAATTGTTGATTCATGGTTTAATGGGACAAAATGTTATATTTGCCAAATTAATTAGAAATTGTCTGTTTTACATTATGAAGTGAAAACAAATAGAACATGCATCTCTCTCACGATCAGTAAGAATCTGACTGGACTGCATGTTCGGATTGATTTCACAACTATGCAACACAGTCAAGTTAAACTAATTAATTCATTTGACAATTTAAAGTTTTTTTTTATCTAAGACAGGTTGATCATATATATCTATATAATTCAAAGCCTATATATCAATCTAAATTTCACTCTAAAATTGTTGGATCATGGTTTAATGGGACAAAAATGTTATATTTGCCAAATTAATTAGAAATTGTCTGTTTTACAATATGAAATAAAAACAAATAGAACATGCATCTCTCTCACGATCAGTAAGAATCTGACTGGACTGCATGTTCAGATTGATTTCACAACTATGCAACACAGTCAAGTTAAACTAATTAATTTATTTGACAATTTAAAGTTTTTTATCCAAGACAGGTTGATCATATCTATCTATACAATTCAAAGCCTATATATCAATCTAAATTTTACTCTAAGATGGTTAGATCATGGTTTAACGTGATAAAAATGTCATATTTGCCAAATTAATAAGAAACTGACTGTTTTACAATATGAAGTGAAAACAAATTGAACATGCATCTCTCTCACGATCAGTAAAAACCTGACTGGAGTGCATGTTCAGATTGATTTCACAACTATGCAACACAGTCAAGTTAAACTAATTAATTCATTTGACAATTTAAAGTTTTCATCTAAGACAGGTTGATCATATATATCTATACAATTCAAAGCCTATATATCAATCTAAAATTTACTCTAAGATGGTTGGATCATGGTTTAACGTGACAAAAATGTTATATTTGCCAAATTAATTAGAAACTGACTGTTTTACAATATGAAGTGAAAACAAATTGAACATGCATCTCTCTCACGATCAGTAAAAACCTGACTGGACTGCATGTTCGGATTGATTTCACAACTATGCAACACAGTCAAGTTAAACTAATTAATTCATTTGACAATTTAAAGTTTTCATCTAAGACAGGTTGATCATATATATCTATACAATTCAAAGCTTATATATCAATCTAAATTTTACTCTAAGATGGTTGGATCTGTTATATTTGCCACTATCTAATGTTATATATTTATACAATTCAAATATTCTAATGACAACCTAAACTTTACTCTAAGAAATTTGAATCGTAGTTAGGTGGGAGGACAAAAAAGTTTTATTTGCCAAATTAGTCAATCTAAAGTTTTCCTCTAACAAGATTGGATCAAATACACCTATATATATACCTACTTATAAATTAGAGTGAAACTTACCTCAATCGGAATCAGGCAAATGAGTAAGCCTGGAGAATTCCAAATTCTGGCAGAATTCTAAAAAAAATGGAATTGGTATTCGCAACTGTTGGATGAGAACAAACACATAACAATAATGAGTTTGGTATTTTTATTAATTACCGACGTCTAAAATATATCATCAAAGTAAAAATAAAAATAAAAAGTAAACATATTATGAAATCTTTGTTAATTAAAGGGATCAAAGAGGTACAGTCAAGAAATGTCTCACCATGGCTTTGTTCTTCCGTGGCGAAATCAAACCAGACGTGGGCTAGAAAGACTCTGCATGCTGCATGCTGCTACTCGCCACTCTTTCAAAGAAGAAATTCCTACAACAGTGATAAAAGAGCTTTGAGTATGTTCTAAACTGATGATGCTCTCTGATCTGGCGTGTCTAAAACAACCTCTTATCTCAAAGAAGGATCAATAACCTGGCTTATATGTATTCTTGGAATGTGCTTCCTCCCGTTGGGCTAACTTGTTTCGTTCTTGGCCTCGTAAAATAGTTGCAGGGCTATTTGTCTTGCAAGCTGAGCATAATCAGAAAATTATCTAAATAACATGTTCCTCCTTTATAGTAGATGAATTGTTGAACGAAACTAAAACCTGAGCGGTTTCTCTTCTTCTTCTTCTTTATTCAGGTTGCACATGATCTTTATCTTCAGTGATCTCTTTACTTTCATCTTTATGAATTGAGGCTGCAGATAAAAGAAAATTTTGAATTCAACTTCAAACTTGAAGAGCGACAAGCATTAACAATATTGGAATAGTACGAATACGCAATCCTGAACAATGGGAATCGCTATTTCGTACTAAGCATACAAATTAACCAGAGAGCTCAGGAAAGTTTTGCCAAGAAGGAAAACAGCATTGTAAATTTACGTTTGGTGATCAGCATTCATCATGTTTTTACGTTTGTTAAATTTAAGCATATCGGAGAAAACTTACAAAATCAAGATTGACATCTTTGGATTTGTGAGAAAAGGTTCGGTAAGCAAAACAGCCCCCACACAAGTCTGCAATTCAAAAACATGATGAGAGTCAGAGAAACTTATGCATAGAACATAACATGTATGACACTGAAGCTTGATCTAAATCTCCAAAGCTTGCATTAATAATGGTATAAACTATTCAGACTTATCAATTCAGTGCATTGCATTGGTAAATGGGAACCGCTAGATACTATATATGGAAGTCATCATCACAAGTCTTCAATCCAAAAACATTCAGAGACAGAGAAGCTTATGCACAGAACATAACATATCTGACACTCAAGCTCGAATTATATCAACCCCAATTCAAGTTTTGAAAAATATTCGCTTCTGTTTTCAAAACTCAGAGATAGCTCTCAACACCATTCCTAATTTCGTTTGTGAGACTGAGAACATAAATCCCTAATTCGCTAATCTTTTTCCTTTGTCACGACAAGATTGAGATCAAAACAGAATCGCAATTTCTCATAACCAAAATCAGTAACTCAAATTAACAAATGCTCTCTCTTCGTTGCAAACAAAATTAAGATCAAATCCAACTCGAGATCTCTCGTTTCGCTTCATTACAATATAAAACTCAAACACCATAAAAAGAAAATAAACGATGAAAAAATAAAGAAAGAGCAGAAAAACTTACGCGGCTTGTAACGGCAATTCAATTTAGAGTTCCGATCGGTGAATCTTATCCTCTGTCTCTCTGTTTATTAAATCGATCGCAGAGAACCCAAAGCTTCTCGTTGATCATCGTCATCACATTACCGATGGCTTCCAATCGCTTTTGCTTTTATGCAATTCGCAAATTGAATCAGAGAAATAGAGAAAGAGAGAGGAAGAACAAAGTCTGGACATGATTAAGTTTTTTCTGGGTTTCTTCTCTTCCGAGAGAGTGAAGAGAAGAAAAAATTAATCACAACGGACATTCAAACTTGAATAAGGAAAATTTTAAGATTTTCGTTGCAGCAACGGATTCAGTCGAGAAACTCTTATAATTATTGTTGGATTGCCGATTTTACCCCTTTTACTTACGTGTAACGGTCTTATTTGGGTAGTATGGGACCCAATGAATCATGTGATCAACGACTAATTTCATTAACCAACAATTGTATATCGTTTTTTATTTGGTTTAGTGAGGTAACAATAATATATCTGATACTGTACTTAAAATCATCATAAATACCCTTTTTCCAGTACTTTTTAACCGTAAGATAATTTAATACTGCCCTAGTAACTCCAAGTAATGTACGCAATTTTTTTTGGCAAAACAGCAATTTTTTTGACAAAATAAAAGATGAAAAATAACATTTAAAATTGATCTTCAGCTTATAATATAACCTAATTTTGCAACTTATTACTGTGACAGGTAGAACAATGATGAAGCAAGTGTCAGAGGAATCAAACTGTGGAACTTATATTTGTGTCCCAAATTAAATCGAGATATACTGTCACTGAATCCTTCTTCAACAAGTATCTTCACGGCTTCAACACCTTGTTCCATTCCCGCATCGATCTAAACATGAATCAGTTTATATTCGATGAAACAAAATATAGTCATATAAAGTTGAGAATCCAAAACAGTTTCAGACTTTCAGTTTCAAAGATCATTTGGCTAGTGAAGAACTTAGATAAAAGTTACATGTTGCGCTCCGAGAGACTGAATTTCTGGAGAAGAAAAGTTATCTATCTAGCAGAAGATGACTTCAACGGTGGAGCTAAAACACAAACCAATAGATTGACTTACATTTTTTAGATATTCAACAGAGATAGCATTCACTGTTTAAATCCAACAAATATAGTTAAAAGAGATGGCATACATGAATGAAAACCCATAATAGGGTTTTTGAGATGAATCCTCAATCAGAAATTTGAGAAGTTTGAGTGAGTGAAATAATATTAGCTCCTTGAGAGGAACCTAAATCTTGAATTTGAGCAGGGGATGAACTTTGAAGCCTGCAAAGAAAAATGAATAGATCTGATTCAAAATCCCAAGTGAAGGATGTGGTAATGTAACACTAAAGCTGAAAAAACTAAATATGACACTAAAGATAACAAACGAGTCAAAGAAGTAAAATCAGAAGTAAAATCAGAAGTAAAATCAGAAGCAATAACACGATTCAGAAACAAGATTCAATGGAGAGACTCCAAGGAGTAGTGCTTGCTTGCACAAACAAAATCATGACACTGTACTGAGCTTAGCAAAATGGCAAAAGATGTAACCATGGCAAAAGACCTAACTCACACTCTCTTTTCCCTTTGCTTGCTTGTGCTCTTGAATATATACTTGTGAACTCTCAAAGCTTTACTTCTCATGGGGTCTATCATCTTCTCTGTCTCCTCTTGTATCTTTTTTGGCAAGTAAACCTCCATGAATATAAACCAGTCTCCTAGTGTCCATTTTTCCAAATCTACCTTGTCTACATTCTTTTTCTTACTCCCAGATTCCCGCTGCTGCTTTTCTTCAGCACACCCAACATCTGATGTCTCAACTCCAGCCACTTGGCTCTTACAGTCTCCTTGTAAGTTCTCTGTCTCTCCATCTTCTCTAACACCATAGTTGAGCTCCTCTTCTCCTAATGTCTCAATCTCCACCTGCTCAGATGTCTCATCTTCTTCTTCAACATCCTTATCTGACTCCATCTTCTTCTTCTTTGCACGGCTTTTACGGGTTTGGTCAGGACCATCTCCAACTCCAGAAAACAATCTCCACCAAGTTCTCTCTTCTTGCTCCTCGTAGCCCTTAAAGGTCTCTTCTCCTCTACATTCTCCTCCAATCCCAAATTCTCAGTGTTCTTATTACCTCCCCGAGACCTAGAGTTGCCCTTTTTCTCCACCGGAACTTCTTCGTCCATCTTCCTCCTGGACCTAGTAACCCTAGAATTCACCTCCTTGGCGATATCTTCCAGCTTTTTACTTCTCTTCGGCGGTTCATGTTCGTCCTCCTTCGCAGATCTACGCTTGCGCGTTGGTTTCTCCTGAACCGACTCGACAGGATCCGGATCCGGATCCGCAACAGGCAGACGCCTGTTATTCCTTCGCGGCCTCGGCGGAAGCTTATGCTCCTGCGCCTGAGCATCGGCCTCAAAGTTCACGACAATGGAAGTATCCCCACCAAGCTTGATTACGTCTCCATGGCGGAGATTGACGGGGGTGTCTCGGTCGAGAGTTTCTGAGTTCAGTATGGTTCCGTTGCGAGATCCGAGGTCGTAGATTATCCACTTCTCGGACTCGGAGACGATCCGGATGTGCTTGGTGGAGATTCCGACGTCTTTAATGGCAATTTCATTACCACGAACTAATCGACCGATCCGAATAGTCGATCCGGGCTTGTACTCTACAGATTCGCCTTCTCTTGGACCCTCCACGAAAGCAAGCTTCAGATTCATCGTGTATGAGTGAGTGAGCTTTGCTTTGATTCAAAATGGAACTTGATAAGTTTCGCCCTTTCGGATTGTGTTATTAATCAAACGAAACGAAACTAATATATTCGGAAACCCTATCCAGCCTATGGGCTTTTGCCTTTTCGTAATAAGCCCATATAAGGCGGAGGCCGTGGGGAAAATGCGCGGCGGAAATTAGGGATCCGAACAAAAAGGGTTCTAGGATTTGGCTTGGGACGTACGACACGGCCGTGGAAGCTGCAAGAGCTTACGACCAAGCGGCGTTTCAGTTGCGTGGGAGAAAAGCAATCTTGAATTTCCCTCTCGATATTAGGGCTACTTCCGAAAGTTGTTTTGAGGAAGGAGTCGTCGGATTAGGGAAGCGGAAGCGGAAGCGGGTTAAGATTTCTCCAGCGGTGGAGGAGGAAGAGAAGGCGTCATCGGTTAGGGTGAAACTTGAGGAAGAAGAGAGTGATACGACGACGTAGACAACGGAGGCTGAGGCTGAGGTTGAGGCGGTACACTTGACGCCGTCAAGTTGGATGGGGGTTTGGGATGTGGGAGCCTCAGTGTTCCTCCGTTATTTCCGACGTCTCCCAACTTCTCCGTTATCTCCGTCACTTGAATTTCGGATAAGTCAACGGGCGATTACGTTTTCACTTGCGTCACTCATAAATTTCTTTATTTATTATATAATATTGTTGGTGGTAGTGTACAAATATCAAACTAGTAGTGTAGTACCAATCATTTTATTCGTTTATTTTTATATAGAAAAAATGTGTGTTGAAAATCTGAAATGTATTTTATATTTGTCGACGTTCTAATAAATTTGTTGATATTGTATAATTGGTCATTAGTTCCGTTTAGTCATATATTAGGAGTGGACACTTCGGTTTTTGGTTTGGTTTCGGTTTGGTTTCTTCGGTTTTACGGTTTATCGGTTTTACAAAAATTTAAATCATATAAAAGCTATATATATTTCGGTTCGGTATGGTTTGGTTTTTTACGATTCGGTTTAATATGATTTGGTTTCGGGTTTTTTTTCATTATACTTTTACAAAAAATTTTGATTCAAACAAATTGAAATAATAATAATAATAAATATGAGTGAAATAAAACAATAAGTTCAAAAAATAGAATCTAAATCATAAACTTCATCAATAAGGACATATTTCAAAATAAAGAAACAAATAAATGATCAAATCTTTCATAATCAATAATTATAAAACAATAAATAAATCTAGATTAAAATTTAATACCTATAACTTTGGAACTAGAACTAGAAGACTTGAATGTGAAGAAAAATAAGTAAATCACATTATTTTTTATTGAAAAATTAAGGTTTACTTTATTATTTATATGTAAATATTTTTTATAAATATTATATTTTAAATTTATGAGTTAAGTTAGTAAATTATAAAGATAACTAAGCTCAATAATAAAATATGTACATAAACTAAATTAAGAAACTATGAAAATATAAATTATTTAAAATTTAGTTTAAAAACCAAAAAAAACTTTTGGTTTGACAGTTTTTAACCAAATTAAACATAAATCAAAGCTATGAAAAAATAATGGCCAAATGGATTTTTAGGTTTAACCATAACTAAACCATATCACTTTTTCGGTTCGATATGATTTGGTTTTTTCGGTTATAGTTTTTGTGTCCACCCCTAATCATATCTATAAGACTATAACTATAACTCCCCATATGCGAAATAGTCGATAAATTATAAAATTGGATCAGAAAAATGTTAAATCGGAGAGAAAAGTAGTCTGTAAGAAAGATTAAGTAATTACTTAATTAAACTACACACAAATCTAAAAAAAAAGTTAAGGTTTTCAAAAGTTCAATAGTAGAACACACCTATGGATAATGCCGCCTAAGATTATCTACAAAGCATACATAAAAGGAGTATTAAGTATCATTAGATCAGGAGTATAATTTTCAAGCAACTGAGCAAGAGGGTAAGGTTTGGTTATATATGTGGAGCCCTATGATATTAAGTAGAAAGAAAGAAAAAATCAAGTTGCCTCAAATCATATCCTAGCAAGTAGCTACCTAGAGAACCCTACAAGAAAAGCAATTTGATGAATTTGTCTCTCCTCTTGGGGTTATAGTTATTTCTACATAAATATCTTTTGATATGTAAAGTTTAACTGGTGAGTCATCACTACTACAAAAATCATAATTTTGTTGTCGTCGTCGTCGTCGTCTTGACTAGATAGAAAATCATCATATATTATCCAAATACATCAGCTTTTAAAGTCTAAATTTTTAGATTGCAGCCGAGTAGTTTCAAGTCTCGATTATTTATTTCTTTTTCCGTTTGAGTTTACGTTTACGTTTACATAATCAAAAGAAAGACAAAAAAATCAAATGATATAGGTAACAAAGTAGTCACCATTAACCACCATTTTGTTAGCAAATAACTTAAGATTAAAATCTACAAGTACAAGAATCAAATTAGATGCTAGTGAAATTAGTCAGCATCAGGGACAAGATCAAGTTGGGCACAACTTGAATGAGTCCTGACAAAAGATCTTAACTTGTCTCCATAAATGGTTAATGGATAAGACTGGGGCCCACAGAGTAAAACCAGAGCAGACGGACAGAGAGAGAGACTTGTGACACCTCACACCCATGGCTGCAGAACACATGTTTAGGATTCGTGTCTTTATAAAGCCAATATATGATCAAAACTTTCTTCAAAACATCACAACTTGCAGATTTTTTCTTCTTCTGCAAAGGAAAAGAAACAAATAAAAATAAATAATGGCGACTTTTGAGGAAACCTCTGATCTGGAGGTTATACAGAAGCATCTCTTTGAAGACTTGATGATCCCTGATGGTTTCATGGAAGATTTAATCTTTGATGATACTGCTTTTGTCTCAGGACTCTGGTCTCTAGAACCCTTTAAACCAGTTCCTAAACTGGAACCTAGTTCACCTGTTCTTGATCCAGATTCTTATGTCCGAGAGTTTCTGCAAACCGAAGCAGAATCATCATCATCATCATCATCATCAACAGCAACAACATCACCTGAGGTTGAGACTGTCTCAGACCGGAAGAGACCAAAGAGGTTCGAAGAGACGAGACATTACAGAGGCGTGAGAAGGAGGCCATGGGGGAAATTCGCAGCGGAGATCCGAGATCCGGCGAAGAAAGGATCCAGGATTTGGTTAGGCACTTTTGAGAGTGATATTGATGCTGCAAGAGCTTATGACTATGCAGCTTTTAAGCTCAGGGGAAGAAAAGCTGTGCTCAACTTTCCTTTGGATGCAGGAAAGTATGATGCTCCGGTCAATTCATGCCGTAAGAGAAGGAGAAGCGATGTACCGGAGCCTCAAGGAACTACAACGAGTAATTCATCATCGTCATCAAACTAGTGGGACTAGTGATCATGCTTAAGTTTAATAAGTGTAAGTAAATATCTTCTGTATGAGAAGCATCATGTATAGAACCAAGAAATGTTAGATTAGTGTAGTGAAGAAGTCTTGCAAAATATATGTACTAAAGAGTTCCTGTAACAATGGAACTTCTGTGTTTTCTCACGTCTTAATGAGCTTAAAGGTTCTAGAAACAGAGTTCTTGTCTAAGAACGGTTTCAAGATTCGGATTTTCAGAGATTAAACCTCCGGGTTAGAATGGGAGGGTGAAACTGAAGACAAAAGAGCCTAAATCGATCTAACTACATCTATTTTTCATCTAGTTCCGGGGTACTTGCTCGAATTTCAGCCTTAAAGGAGAAACTTCACTGAGGTATGAATCAGTGCAAATGTCAAGAAAGCGTGTATCAAAGAAATTGAGTAGATGAACAAGTTGCAAGAGGGACCAAAATTAAAATAACGAAGCAGCCAGAGTTTTGCCTCATGGTTGGGTACAAGTCAGCATTCGTTTGCAAATCTGACAAGGAATTGGATGGACCACACGCAACATCTAAAGATGGAGAGATGCACAAGTTGCAAAACGGAAAAGCAAACACAGAGAGTAAAGACATGTATTTACATCTCAATCCAATCGTTGAGACGAATGTTGAGTATTATTATTACGAATAAGTGGACCAAAGAATTCTTATAAACCAATCAAATACGTCACGGTTGTCGTATACCTTCTAATCTTCTATGCATATGGTCTAAGATACATTATGGAATACTTTATAGTTGGCGATAAAGATATATATATCTTCTATGCACATGGTCCAGTATACATTTGGAACAGTTGATGAATATGAGCTGACCTATTTTTAGATAGAAGAGATCTTCATCTGATCAATCTTTTCTTGAGTTTCCATGTCGATCACATTCTGCAATGCTCCTTCACCAGTCAAGAAACTCGGTTGATTTGTCGATGCAAGGAGTCTAGCCCACATCCTATCCGTTAACTTCACCGTATTGGTCACTTCAGTCACCCGCTGCACGAGTAGAACATGTCACGCAGTAACAACAAAGATTTAAGACTCGTCAATGATTTATCTAAGTCTGAAGAATGATTAGAGAAATATAAAAGGGAAAAGCTTACAGAAATTGGGATGTAAGCATGTCTGCTGTTAACTGGTCCCACAGTGAAACCTGAGTACCCAGCCATTGCTCCATGAACTGCACTTTGGGCAAGAAGAGTGCAATAGACATTGTCTGATGCGTTACTCGGTATTGCTCTTATCATATACGTCGGATCTGTTTAAAAGGTAAATATGTCAATGAAATTCACACAAGGGGATTAACAAGATTGAGACATCGAAATTTGAAAGATATACCTATGTATTTCATATTTATGGTCATTTTCCGAACATTTGTAAAGTGATCCTGCAACATTGTGATCACAAAAACTCATCTTGAATGTTTGGGAAAAACAACTAGAAACCATTTTCTTAACGTTCGAGTTTTTCGACCAATACCTTTATCTGTTGGGTCAACCATAGACCAACATCAAGCAAGAGTCTATTTCCTGACGCGTCTTTAGTTTCAGATGCACGCATGCTTTGAGAAACATAATCCTGTCCAGCTCCTTCAGCTATCACAATAACCATGTGCCTGTTCTCTTTGAGTCGCTGTTCAATAAACTCAAAGAGTCCACCCTTTCCTTCAAGAAAGAATGGAGACTCCGGAATCAAGCAACAATCCTGTCGCATTTCAAACAATGCCTTTTTCCATTCTTATGCCGTACAAGAGAACTTTTATATGGACAAATCAAAACAATAAGCTATTATTACCACATCACGGTTCGCTAAAGTTGCAATCATGGCAATAAAACCTACAGAAAGATTGATATTTCCGTAAGCGACTCTCAAAAGAATGACAGACCACAGGTCCACATATGCCAACAGAACACTTACCGCTGTATCTGCCCATCAGTTTAACAATACCAACTCCATTCTCCACGCTCTCGACCTCTACGTGTGCAGCATTGATAGCTCTCTGAGCTTCCTCAACAGCGGTATCAAATCCAAACGATTTGTCAATAACCTAGAACAATGGGTGAAGAAGATGCATAAGAAACTCCATATGAGTGAAGCCTAGAAGACCTTAAGCTGAAGAATATCAATGCATACATACTTACAGCAATATCGTTATCAATTGTCTTGGGGATGCCAGAAACTGCCACCTGAAGACCACGCCTCTCGACTTCCTTCACAGCATACAAAGCAAGTATCAACATAAGCACTTAATCTTACATACACGCAACAATTAGTAATATGTGATATGAAATCACCTGGTATATTTTTTCTGCGCCTTTTTGCGTTCCGTCACCTCCAATAATATACACCTGAAACGCACCCATTGACGAAATATAAGTATAAATTAGTTTCAAGACAAACTAAACTGCATAAAGATCAAGAAACCTGGAAGAAATGGAAATTTACTTATGTTTGGCTACCTGATTAATTCCTCTATCTTGGATGTTATCAACAATCTTCGCTGTATCGTGTCCTCCTCTCGAGGTTTGAAGGAAAGTGCCACCGCGTTTATGGATATCATTGACTACTTTAGGCGTCAGGGTCATTGTGTTTTTGGAGTAAAAGCCTCTATATCCTCCCTCAATGCCAAGAATATTAGTGACACCATACATATTGTACAACCCACATACGATTTCACGTATCACTGTATTTATCCCAGGGCACAAGCCCCCACATGTCACTATGGAAGCTTTTACTTCATCAGATCTAAAGTACACCTGAGAAGCCAAAACTTGACAGGTTTCAGTAGCGAAAATCTTTGCAAAAAGTTTAAGACTTTAAGAAGGAAAATCATACTCTTTCTCGAGGCCCCGCTCGCCTAAAGTGCACTCCTCGCTTACTTCCCTTTTGAACTACAATCTAAAGATGAAGGGACTTGAGCAAGCAAAACACTCGCAAATCGAAAAAGAGAAAAGATGTAGCTCAGAATAATAACATCCAGCTTACATTTTGGGCAACCACATCTTCGGAACTGACAAAGGTTCGCCTGCAGAACCCGCATGAAGAAAATACATTACAACCCTCAAAGTGATTACTAATTTATTTACTATGCCATGTTGGGATTTAAACTTACTTAACAATAGCGTATGCTTGGCTTTCCTTCAAAGGATTTGGGTACGACTGTGATATCAGAAACAAGTCACGAATTAAGGAACAAGCAAGATCTTATTAACCCAGGAGAAAAGTTGTTACCTTTAAATGGAAAAACTCATGATATTAACACATTACCGACATAGACCATCAAACATTTTATAAATCTCCATTACAAAAAGCTATAATGTTTAAGATTTTAGTAGTGAAACTAATAAATCTCCGTAGTCCTTCGTTCCGACTTCTATAAGCTTTCTACGCACTACGAGAAGGGAGAATCAAGTCGGAGAGATAGTATTACCGGTAAATCAGGAAGAAAATTTGTCAAGTGAGGAACATCTTCTAGCACAAACCCATCGTCTTCCACTGGTCCCAATCCATCGGAGCACTGAGCTCTGATTAGACAATTCCGGTGCGAGATTCGCGGTAACACTGAAACTTTCTTCAACTTCAAAGCAGGAACCGGGAAAACTCGCCGAAGACGGCGATGAAGGACGTTCGAAGAAGGAGCAAGGGATGAAAGACTGGGTTTTGTTGACCCAAGGAACGTAATCGAAGTTTCCATTTTGTACGGAGAACAAATCCGAATTTGTGGGATTGAATGATTACAGCAGAGATCGTCGAAAACGAAGGAAGGGGTATCACACCAAACGAAAGCAGCACACCAAACGAAAGCAGCACACCAATGAGAGAGAGAGAGTGAGGAATTTTCCTTAAAATTGTTAAAGTTCAGATCTTTGTGAAAAAGGCATATATTTTGTCGTTATTTACGCAAATTCAACCGCTTTCTAAATAATTAAAACTGAATACAAAGAAAAACCATGCCGTTCAAGCTAAATATGATAGCACATGACGCCGTTTTTATGATTTTTTAATGTTCTTAGTTCGGTACTTCTTGTTGGACGGGAAACCGAAATCCTATCGTCTTTGGCAAATCCTCTGTTTCTGGATATCTGATACACATCTGAGAGATGAGCTCCTCTCTCGGGATATCGTTCCCTCTCGCCATTGTTAATCTACCTGAAGTTCCATTATCTGTGAGATTAATCTCTCCCCTTCTCTCCATCTCTCATATTTTATATTCACTTTGCTTTTTATGTTCATGACGAAATCTTAGATTTCAGACAGGAAGCTCATCAGTGTTTCTACCAGCTCAGATTAGGCAAAAGCCTCGAGAAATCTCCATTTCTTCGAGTGTCCCATCATCTTCGGCAGTAAACGACGAAATTCACGGGAATTGTTATTCGGTTACATCATTGATAGAGCTTTTACGAGACTCTGCAGATGAAAGGTGTCTGGAGAAAGCGAAATCGATTCATGGCCTTGTTGCTAAATTTCAGTTTATGGGGAAGCCCTTGACGGTGATGTTGAATCAGATGGTCATCGCCTACTCGAAATGCTCCGACTTTGGTTCTGCTCTTCAGGTGTTCGACGAAATTCCGCAAAAGAGTGTTTTCTCGTGGACTGTTTTAATCGTTGGAGCTACAGAGAATGGGTTTTACCGTGATGGGATTGATTACTTTGTTGAGATGCTGGAATGCGATATCTTCCCCGATGAATACGCTCTTTCTGCTGCAATCCAAGCATGTATTGGCGTGGAAAGCATTGATCTGGGTCAAATGGTTCATGCTCAGGTTATAACCCGGGGATTTTCGTCTCTTTCGTTTGTTAATACATCTTTGCTTAGCATGTATGCTAAGTTGGGGAGGATTGGAGATTCTTGTAAGGTGTTCAACTCCATGGAAAATCGCAATGAAGTTTCATGGAACGCAATGATATCAGGGTTTGTGTCAAACGGTCTTTACTCGGAAGCATACAATAGTTTCTTGAGAATGCTGGGCGAGGACATTAGACCGAATGTATCATGTTTTATTAGCGTCTCTAAAGCTATTGGACAGTTGAGAGATGCTGAGAAAGGTAGATACATTACTAGTATTGCTTTCGAGATGGCTATGCAGTCAAATATCCACGTGGGAACAGCCTTGATTGATATGCTTGCAAAATGCGGATGTGTTACTGAAGCACGGTCAGTTTTTGAGTCGAATTTCACCGGATGCGGAGGGAACTTACCGTGGAACGCTATGATATCTGGTTATACGACTTCTAGGCACGGAGAAGAAGCAATGTTGCTGTTCCTAAGAATGTGTCAGAATAATATCAAACGAGATGTATACACATATTGCAGTACATTGAACTCAATTGCTGACCTGAGGTCGTTAGAATATGCAAAGCAGGTTCACGGGATGATATGGAAAAGTGGCCGAGAATTGACTAGTGTGAGTCTCTGCAATGCCCTAATGGATGCCTACGCCAAATGTGGGGAGCTTGAAGCAATGAGAAAGCTTTTCGACACTAGAGAGGAAGCAAACCAGATCTCATGGACGACGCTTGTGACGGCTTATTCTCAGTCTTGTGAATGGGAGGAAGCACTAAGCGTCTTCTCTCAGATGAGAGAAACAGGGTTTCAACCGAACGAGATCACATTTTCCGGTGTATTTGCCTCATGTGCTAGCCTCTGTTTTCTCCAGTATGGGCAGCAAGTCCACAGCTTAACATACAAAACAGGCTTCGCTAGAGACAAATGTGTCGAGAGCGTTCTTATCGACATGTATGCGAAATGTGGGAGTGTAAGAGACGCCACCAAGGTTTTTGAGTCTCTGAAAGACCCTGATGTCGTTTCATGGACTGCCATGATATCTGGATATGCCCAACACGGTATGGCGAAGGATGCCTTAGAACTCTTTCGAAAAATGGAGCTTGTCTTCCCAAAACCAAACTCTGTTACATTTCTATGCCTTATGTTTGCTTGCAGCCACGGTGGACTAGTGGATGAAGGCTTACGGTATTTCAATTTGATGGTGGAAAAATACGGGCTGGTCCCTGAAATTGAACATTATGCCTGTGTGGTTGATATCCTTGGCCGTGTGGGCCGTTTATCTGAAGCATGGAGATTTATAATGAAGATGCCAATGGAACCTGATGAGAAACTCTGGTTGACATTGCTTGGAGCATGTAGGGTTCATGGGAACATTGGGTTGGCAGAGATTGCTGCTCAAAAGGTTATCTCTTATAACCCAAAAGATTCAGCAGCTCTTGTTCTCTTGTCAAACGCATATAGAGAAGCTGGGAATATTGAAGCTGAATCAAATGTAAGAAGTATAATGAAATCTCAAGCAATGAGAAAAGAACCCGGGCTGAGCTGGATTTCCATTGGAGGTAAAATCCACAAGTTTTGCTCTGGAGATCAACAACATCCCCAGAAGGATGATATATACAAAACACTGAATGAATTGATAGAGAAAAGTAAAGGGTAAAAAGCTTTTGAGTTTGTGACCATAACATACACCACAAGATTAATATCATGATACCTTGCTCAAAACCACAAGGATCTACTTCAAGAGCAAGAACCAGAGAGAGAGACTCATGGAGATTTCAGGTAACTCAAGAATCATATATCTTGCTGCACATTCCGAGCAAGGCTATAAGATACAACGTCAAGGACAATATACATACAAGCCATTGATTTTAATGAAGAAGATGTTCTACGATTACCGAAGGCCTTAAGTTCCTCGAGCCTCTTGCTATCATCTGAAAGTGTGTTCTTTTCTCAGGTATTCGCAAGCAAAACTTCATTCCATCTTCATTTACTTCTGTAGGTAATCAGACGACTAGGTCGTTGTAAATATCCACACGCTAGAACTTGTTATATGTATTGTATCATCCCTATGAAGACTCTCCCCTGTATCATCCGCTCCATGCTGTTAATCGAACTTGCAAAAAGTATGTGATCTCTGGAAAGATTCAACATTTCTGCCATGTCTGTTCCACAAATTAGTCAGTTTGCTAGGCATCATTTCCTGATCTCCTCTAGTTTCCTCAATAGTTGCTTGAAGCTCGGCCTAAGAGAAGGCGATGGAGAGCAACAAGACATTGCAAGCTGAATGTACTCGAGGACACATTCTTCGCTCACACCAGTTCCATCTTTCACACCTCTCCTAAGAATCTCAGGACGGTACAAATCCTCTGCAGCTGCTGGATTCTTGTTTATCGGCTCTTTACCAGAGACTATCTCGAGCATGATCACACCGAAGCTGTACACGTCGCTCTCTTTGCTTACTTCCTTCATCTTGATCAACTCAGGCGCTTTGTACCCCTCTGCAGCTGAAGCTTCTAGAATCTCTTGCCCAGCAGCGAGGTTCAAGAGCAAATGCAAGCCGAAATCAGAGACTCTAGGCCTAAAACTCGTGTCCAAAAGGACGTTTTTGGACTTCAGGTTCCCGTGAACGATTGGTTTCTGCATTCCTGTGTGGAGATGATCAAGAGCTTTGGCTATTCCAATGGTGATGCTCAAAATGTTGGTCCATTTGTGTGATTCAACACCTCCACCTGCCAAAACTATGCTCTCTTTTTTAGACACGTGTTGAATATTGATAGAAAACTAATAACAAGTTGTTTAACTGATGTCGATGTCCTGAAACGAGATCTGTAAAGTTTTGTCTTTCATGGTGAGCATATGAAGTGGGAAGTGACCAAAAAAGTAGTTACCGACAAAATATGATTCAATAATGGTGATGCAAGAGAACAAAAAAAAAAGCAATTTTTTTTCTTCTCAAAGTAGGGAAGACGATTCAACGTTATGATATATGAATATGTAAAAGATAAGACAATTTCTTATGGATCGACTACAGTTACCACCATATATGATTCAATCTTCTATATAGTTTTTCCGGGAAAATCAGAGAACTCAGGACTCTGTTTGTTTCTCAGTGAAAAAAAAAAAGAAAACAATACCCAGAGAACAATAATCAACGAGATTCCACAAGAAAAGAGGGAATCGAGAAATGAAAGCGAATTCAGACAGCCAAAAAGTTATTTACTTTTGGTCGAAAAACTAAAAGTTTGTTCCTTTCATCTTTTCCGGCTTTCCCGCATTTTCTACAGAAAAAAAGAAACAGAGACTTACATCTGATGAACTCGGAAAGATTCCCGGAACCGAAGAAGGGATGGACCATAAGCTTCTCTCCTCTCATCCCAACATAGAACCCTAACAGAGGAACCAAATTGTCATGTCTCACAAATCCTAGCGACTCGATGACGCCATCAAACTCCTTGGAATCTGAGCTCACTGCACAGGTAGGTCGAAGGAACCTAAGAACCCTAACTTTCCCACTTCTCTGCAACGACGCCTTGTACAATGTTCCGTAGCTTGATTTTCCGATGACTTCTCCGGGAGCTTCGAGGATGTCGCAGATCGTGAAATCTTCTCCGCCGTCGAAGATGATAAGCTCCTCCTCTGTTTCGGAACCAATGTCGGAAAATTCTTGTTTCTCGCAAGGAGATTCCACATCGTAGTGAGCTTCACTGGTCTCTGTTGTTGTTCTTCTGCAGAAGATGAAGATCACAGTGATGGCGATTCCAATCAAGAATGCTGTTGGAAGAGATACTGCAAGTATCAGTTTTACCAAATGCGCTTTTCTCATCTCATGGAAAAGTTTGTTTTTCTTTTTCTTTTTCTTTTGTGGGCAATGATATTTCGAATTTGGGTATTAAGTGAGAGATTTAAAGCTGGAATTTCGTTGGGGAAAAAGTGTCTTTTTAGGAATAAAAATGGAAAAAGAATTAAGAAAAAATTGAAACTTTTTTTGTTCACAGTAGTGAACACAAAGAGATTTATATAGATGGTGTGTGATGGATGGAGATGATGTAAATGATACTGTATATAGATCTGAAACATGTTACAGTTGTATAAATGTGGACTTATTGAGTCGTTTCCTCGCTATTATTGAAATGTGTTATTTATGCTCCTCCCAAGTTCTCAACCAATTATAACGTTTATGTACCTACTGAGATGCAATCGCATAGGTCAATTTATTGGAGGGACTATATTCAGTTTGTCAGTCATATAAGAATTAGATTTTGCCATTATGGTTTTGTACTTTGAGAAACCTTTTTTATGTTTAATAGAAAACGCCAATAAAATCTTATGAATATGAATATGAATGTACAAACTTCATGAGTTCAGAAGACTACAATTTTGTCCCAAAAAAAAAAAAAAAAGAGTAGACTGTAATTAGCTGTTACTTCTTAGATATTCAGAAAATTTGATGTATTGCTCTGGCGAATGGTAATGAAAGCGATGACAAATGAGTTGGCTTTGACTTTGACTAGTGATGGAAGTTGAAATGAGTGTGTGACTAATATTCATTTACATTCCCGATTAACCTTTAGAAGGATCCATACATTAGTATAGTTTTAGGAAATGAGTAAAATATGAACAAATAAAAAATAGTGTAGAGTTCAATTAGAGAAAATCTTAAATAATCTAATGACGGAATAATTCTCCCACAACGAATAGTCATTTTATAGTCCCACTCACTGACATATCAAAGGTTGGTGAGGGGACCCTTCATGTCACTCGCCTTTCAACAATCACAAGTTCACAACTCACTTGAAACTTGGTTTATGAACAGTTTTAAAGATTTAATTTACTAGTTTATTTGTGTTTATTCAACTTTCCTATATTGTTTCCATTCTGAAATTTGATCAATGCATGTAAGGATTAATGAGGGTTTAGTGGATACCGTTTAGTTAAATATATTTTTATAAGGTTTATGTAAATGTTCGATATTAGTTATATAGTTCAGTATATGTCCAGCTACTTAAACTTAATAAGTTTCATATTTATGTCTTTCCTGACTTTATTAGCAAAATAAGTTATATAGAACCCACACCATTTAATGGCCTAGGTGTCGTGACAATATCACATAACCAGATCAGTATACTGTATACGTCGTTTGCTATTAACCTAGGTAACATTTATATTCAAGTTATAAAACATACGAATTAATTATTTTAAACGTAACGCTTTTTAAATTGAGACTTTTCTTTTTCCAATGGGGCCGATAGATGTTAAGAAAAAACAAGAGTGGTTGGACCAAACCACCAAAATACAGATCAATCTAAAAGATATGGGTATCTTCATAATGGGAACCATAAGGCCAACTTTAGGATCCTACACAGCCAAAGAAAAACAGTACTTTTCAAATGCAAATTGAACTGAATGTTTTTTTTTCGTCTATGGTTTTCTCAATCTATTTAGCATTTATATTCAACAAATCGGACGTGAAAACATACGAATTAGTTATGTTTCTTGCTGGTATAGATATGGTAAAACAATATGATAAAACAAAAATCATTACTACCTACTACTGTATTATCATTTCTTGTAAGTGCGCAGTCAAACCCTATTGTACATTAAAATGAATATAGGTTACCTTTTACATACAAGAACCCGGGATGTTTCAACACATATAAACATCAATGTTATCTACTCGTGTGTGTATGTGTGTGCGCAAGAGTGGTGTGAAAAAGAAAAAAACAATGATGCATGTTAATTGACGAGTTTAGCCTTGTAACGTTGAACCTCTTTCTATTTAATTAGATGTGATCTCCACTCTTTAATTGCAGAAAGGAGAGAATGATTAGGAAGAAGCGAATCATTAGGGAAGGGCAAATCCGTCATCGGAGATTTTTGATTCTTCTGAAGCCATTCCTTTATGGCTCTTTTCTCGTATGTATATCCGTCCGCAGCAACACATGGATTCTCCATCACATCCTAATTTCATCAATAAAAACCATACTAAAATGATCAAAATCTTTAACAATAAAAATTGATCAAAATCTTTGACAATAAAAATTGATCAAAATCAAACACGTACATAATGAATCTGACGATGGAAAATTCAATTACTATGATTACCTTAGTTATTGGACAGTAGAAATGGCTCGGAGCGTGGTGGCGATGGTCGATTAGGGTTTCAGCAAACACGTTTCTTGCGTTAGAAGCAACGTCCTTTAACCGTTCAAGAACCGGTAGGATTTCTTTCCCTAAATCGGGACGGTCACGCTTTCTCATCTCCGAACATCTCAGTCCTAGCATAACCATCTCCTTCGCTTCCTTAACCGGCCAATCTCCAGCAGCCTTATCCAATATCTCTGTAAAATTTCCGGTACGATCTCTCAACGCTTTCTCTACCGTATGAGCCAATCCCATCGCGGATCTAGCAGTTGCTAGCTGAAGAAGTATGATTCCAAACGCGTAGACATCAGATTCCGGGGTTACCACTCCGGTTCTTTGGTACTCTGGATCAATGTAGAAGAACGTTCCTACCGGTCCGGTTTCGTTGAAAACCGTTGAGGCGTGAGAAGGATCGAGATTAACCATTTTGGAGAGTCCCACGTCTCCGATTTTGCTCACATTGTTCCGGTCTAGGAGTATATTGGCCGGTTTAAGATCGCGGTGGACGATTGGTCTTGGTTCGTTTGTGTGGAGAAAATAGAGAGCTGAAGCGATCTCCCAAGCGATTCTGAACCGCTCGAACCACCGTAAAGGCGGTTGCTGCGGTGCGTCATCGTTTGATCGGCGCTTCATGAGTCTTTCCTCGAGGCTTCCGTTGTGCATGTACTCGTAGATTAAGCTGCCGCGTTCAGGACACGCGCCTAAGAGGAGAAGCAAGTGTGGGTGACGAATCTTGCTAAGAATCTCAAGCTGAAGAAGTATCAACAAAAACGTCACCGTTTAGCAGAATGCTAGTTTTGGTTCTAAGGTTTAGAAAGTTCAAAAATCTTTTTAGTTGTACCTCTTGGTGAAACTGTTTGGTTAAGCTACTTTTGTCTGAGTGGAGAACCTTGACAGCTACTGTCGTGTGGTGCAAGTTACACCGGTACACGCTTCCGTACCCGCCCGTTCCGATTTTAAGCTCATCGGAAAACGATGACGTAGCCTCAACGATGTCTTCCCACTCAAATTTCATGTATTGTTGACGCTGAAGCGGTCCTCCTTCAAGTGCGTCCTCTAGCCTCTGCTTCTCCTTTCTAACCTCTTCCGCTCTTGCTTCCGCCTCAAGTCTGTCTTCAATTTCTCTCTCAACGCACTCTCTCACGAGCTCAGCTTCGTTCTCGGCCTCCTCTTGCCTCTCCCTCTCCATTTCCACCACTTCTTCCGCGTCTTCTTCTCTTATCGTTAAGTTCTTGAGCCTCGCAGCTTCCTCTGACCGACGCTGGTTCAGATCTTGCATCTGTTAAAAAAATGGAGGATACAAATCATTTTCGATATCGAGAAAACAAAAAGAAAAACTTTCTACAACGCCCAACGAACCTTTTTAGAAGCGTCCATGACTTCGCTTTGAGCAACTGCATACATTCCTTTAATGTGACGGAGTTCAATCTTCAGCTTCTCTAGCTCAAAGTCTTTATTCATCTGCGAGTTAAGAATCCCACATTATAAAAAATACTTAAATGCATCACTCCACACTCATTGCGAATTGTTTTGAAACAAGAGTATATACTAACCTGACTACTAGAAGAAGTAGGATCGCTATAGCAACTTGAGCTTGAACCCTCGTCCGTAAGAGAGCTTCTGTGACTGTGGATATCGTTCCCGCCATACCCAATTCCAGAGCTGTTTGTTCGGTAAAAGCCCTTCTGGTTATGTATCTTGGTATCATCAACATCTAGTGACGAAGCTCTGTTATGGTGCGTATCAATATTGTTCTTTGTTCCCATCTTTGTCCCGACCTTCTGGTTAACCGTTGAAAGCGCTTGGACTCTTTGGAAGAGTAATGGTGTAGATGAGAATTGATAACTCGATGTCGAACTTACTGACCCTAGAATGTTACAAAGGAAAAAAACCAATTCAAATCAAACGGGTTTCAAGAACTTCTTGTGTGTGTCCTGAAAATTTAAAGTTATACCTGAGTGGCTACTTGAAGAGAACTGGTTTTCGCTTCTATCATCTGCGATGCTTGTTTCAATGTCGTCTACATCTGATTTACGAACGTTGAGAAGCTTTCCTTTAGAGATAACATGAACGGTGCAAAATCTCGGTGTGAGTTCTGATATCTTTGAAGACAAGTTGCTTCTCTTCAACTTCCTACGAAAAAGAACCGAAAAAAATAATTGAAGAATGCTATCGGAATTTAGAAAAATTGAAAGTTAAGTGATTGTTTGAAATTGTTACCATGAGAAGATGATAGAAGAGGAAGATCCAATAACTAGCTCATTGATTCCATGATCTTGAACCGCTTTAGAGATTGCATCGGCTACATCGTCTGATTCAAGCACCATTATATCCAATTGAACCTTTCACATTTCACAAGATTCAGATTTTTAGTAACAGAAAAACAACAAATCAAAACCCACTGTGAAAATTTCCAATTTTTTGTTTTTGTTTTACAGATACCTCTCTATGAACAAACATGTCTCTGCTTGGAAGAAGCATTTCTCTGGTTTTCTTATCAACATCTTTCTTGTAACCCGTTGTGTTCGAATTGGATCTTGAGGTCGAAAGTGAAATCGAATCTCCTATTTTTACCAACCAAATCAGATCGAATTGTTGGAAGATTGTAACTTTTGCAAAGTACACTTACTTGGTTGGACATGTAAGAGCTTGAAGACGACATGTTCTTGAGAAGCGAATTGTTGAAGTGCCCATCGAACGACGCCTTTGGTTTTGCTATTGTTCCCTTTGATCGCTACCGCTACGATTAAAGCTCCGTCTCCCATTTCTCGAGCTTCAACGGCTAAGATCTGATTATCGAAAAGTTTAACAGAAACAGAGAAAGGGTAAGCGATGGATTTGACTTCAAAGCTTCAAGCTTTTTGTTTCCTTAATCTCGTCTTGCAGATGATTAAACAGCAGCTTAAGGGAGACAAACGGGAGAGAAGAGAGAGTCATGATTTGGTCTGTTTTTATTTGATTAATTAATGCAGTTACAAAGACATTTTCTGGGCAAGCCAAACAAGTTGAATGCTTAATGGATATAATAATTCTAAAATATAAGTTTAATAAAGAAAATAATGAAGAGATGGAAGATCTGTGGTTAATCAATTTAACGGCTAAGATCATCAGGGTTTTAAGGTTTGTTTTTGTAAGATTTTAAGAAAATACCAAAAATGCTAAACAATGATATCAGATAAGATTTGAAGATACCTAATGATTTTTTTGACTTCAGAGCTTTCAAGCTTTTCCCAGAAACTTTGACAAAATCGGGTGAGAGAGAGAGAGAGGAGAGGAGAAAGAAGATGACGAATCAAATTTGAGTCAGTGAAATTGTATCCCGATTAGAAAAATTGAGTTATACGGAAATTTATGCGCAGACGAGTTGAAATTCTTAATGGAAAATTTTATAGAAACAAGATTCAAAAAATGTAATGATAAAAACGATAAGAGAACTGAAAAATGTCATAAAAGTCTAGAAGAGTATTTTGTCTTTGTGTGAATGTGTGATGTCTTTTCCCAAAGGTTTGTGAAATGAGATGACGTTCAAAGTCAGAACAAGTTGGCTTTTGTCGGACTACCAACTTGTTTATTCAATATTGTTGACTTTTCTATTTCCCTTATGAATATATTCATATATGTTTTCATCTCTGCAAAACAAAACAAAATTGTGTTTTTGTTTTTGTTTTTCTTGTTCAACTACAATATGGTTTTTCTTTTGCAAATCTTTTTTGTAGTGACGTGGAAAGTTACTTTTAAATGATTATAGGTATCAAAAAGTTCTTCGAATGGTGTAATCAAATGAAGTCATGTAATAGGTAACAAAAAGATTTTTTTTTTTTTTTGCTAACTAATTTAAGGTAACAAAAAGTTCCTTCAGCTTTATTAAATATTTTCGATAATGATTTGGGGTGATCTTTATCATTTCGAATGAATCAGAGCATAATACGTGGGAGTACTATTGATCTGGAATCTCATTTGTTTTTTTTTCTTTGCGTTCCAAAAACTTTCCACGTTAATCTCCCCACGACAACACAATCTAAAGCTTCATAGACAAAACACCCTCTGGTCTGAACTCCCATGAACCTTATAGAACTATTTGGGTACTCCAAAGCTCAGAAACATCACCCACAAAGTTTTCAGAGCTCAAGGACGGATGTCACTTCTTTGACCATTTGTATGTGCTCTAAGTTTGATGAATGCATGTCAGATATAAAAGTAACTACATTGGAGAGTCCTTTAGAGGTTTTGAAGAAAAAAATAAATAAATGATGTGCAAACAAAAGTTATAGAGTCGACTCTATTCAGAGAGCTCATAGAATCTGTTCTCAAATGATGTGTTTCCTTCTGATTTGTGTTATTTTTGTTTTTTAGTTGAAAATCAATTTTTTTTCTGTTTTCTCTCTGCTTCGATCAATTTTTTCTGTTTTCTGTTAATTGATAAAATATACTTAAAAACTTTTTTATGAGTCTCTCTAATGCAGTTGATCTACTTATTCATGCAACAATGCATGATACATTCTTTGTTACAGAGTATCGTTCCTAGAGTTTCTATTTTGAATGACATGTTTTTTAATTGTTAGGTGACACGCCCACCTATCTACCTTACGAAGAGTATCCTAATTTTTTTAAAGTTTGTACCCGTTGCTTTGTTTTTAAATTTTCTTTTATGCATTTCAATTTCAATCTTGTTTTCAATTTTATGTTTTTCGTTGTTAGCCAAATTCATTTGTAAGTATTTTTCTTTATTTTATCAATAAATACAATATTTCTAATAATAGTTAAAACATGTCAAAACGATTCTGAATAAATTTCTTTAAAAGTTACACGAATTTTTTTATTAAAAAAAAATGTTATGAATTTTGGATTTAGATTCTAGTTTTGGTGGGTTTGGAAACAGCTATTTGTCTATTCTCTTTAGGAGATACTTTTATCTCAAGTAAACTCGAACTACATACCTCATCTCTTAAAAAAGTATGAGACCAAGGACCATTTCATTATAACATTAAATATTAGTATGAAACAGAAAAATATTTATTTGCATTGTTTTCATTTGGATTACTTGTGGACTCCAATATACAGATGTACTTTTAGCATTTATTATGTGCATTAAATGGCGTGAGTAGTGGACACTTAATGTTGGACAAAATAATAGGTGCTGGTAAGTGGTAATCTGAGATAAGGATGTTTTGGAGAGCAAAACTTAAACTGTACTTTGTATTTGATAAATACAGATTTAACTCTATAGTTGATCATTTGCATTTATTGGCCTTCATTAGTGGACATTTCGTGTTTGACATGACAGTGTAGGTGCGGGTTCTTTCTTGTTTAGGGTCCAAAGTCTACATATCAATCTATCTTAAATTCTTAATTCTATGTTGATGTTATGTTGTAACTCGAATTCAAATTCAGTAGAGGGCGTGAAGGAGTTCTATAAACGAAAAAGAAAAGTTACTATTTTGATATGGTTGGATTGGACTGTTCATTCTTGTTGAAATTATTTGGTGTGACAAATTTTATTGTATTTTTGAATTTTTAATCAAGCGAGAGTAAAGAAACACGAGAAAACTAAAGCAAAAGACATTTCTCTCTCTCGACGGTTGTAATCTTGCATCTCATCACACAAAAGATAAACCCTCCGAACAGAGACAAAGGAAGAACAGAAAGAAACACACACAAGAAAGAACACATTGATAGATTCGATTGTACTTATAAATTATAATCTCTTTCTTACTATTGTTTATTAGATTTCCACTCCATGATTGCTGAGTAAAGAGTGTAGTTAGCAAGAAGGTTCTTGTTAGGCAATGGAAGATTCGTCACGGGAGATACATCCTTCTCTCTCAACCAATCCTCTATGGCTCCCCGATCGTACGTGTACCCATCCGCAGCCACACACGGCTCGTTCATCACTCCCTGCGACCAAACACCAACAAAAAAAATTAGATCATAATCGAGAAGAGGACAATGTCTCTTTCTTGTACCGCAAGTAACCAATCGCATTTCTAGGTTTTGTTCAAACCTTGAGAAGTGGGCAAATGAAGTGAGATGGAGGACCAGACGGAGTTCTCGAGAGTGAGTTTTGAGCCTTGTCGACAACTTTCCTGAGCCGCTCCAAAGCCGGGATGATCTGATCTTTAAGATCTGGTCTGTCTCTGCGTCTCAGCTCCGTACAACACAGCCCCAAAGCAGCTAACTCACGAGTCTCACTCATAGGCCAAGATCCAGCTTTCACATCCAACACTCCCATAAACTCAGCATCGTCCCCAATCGCTTCTTCAACCATATGAGAAATCGCTATGGCGGGCTTCGCAGTTATGAGCTGCAAGATTACAACTCCTAGAGAATACACATCGGATTTGGGAGAGATAATCCCTGTCCGCTGATACTCAGGGTCGATGTAGCAGAGCGTTCCCACGGGACTGGTTTTCTTGAAGACGGTTAGTTTAGAAGATGCGTCGTCTTGGCTGACCATCGTGGAGAGACCGACGTCGCCGAGCTTGCTGACGAAGTTGTGGTCAAGCAAGATGTTGCCTGGTTTGAGGTCTCGGTGAATGATGGGTCTAGGCTTTGACTTGTGGAGAAAGACGAGCGCTGAAGCAACTTCTAAAGCGATCCTGAAACGCTCGAACCATGGTATTGGAGGTGTGTCGTTGACCAACATCAACCGGTCTTCTAAGCTTCCGTTGTCCATGTACTCGTAGACGAGGCAGCCTCTTTCGGGACATGCCCCTAGGAGAAGTACGAGGTGAGGATGACGGATTTTGCTCAAGATCTCAAGCTGTCAACAACAGAAAATACAAAACATTTAGACTCTGTTTGGTCATTCCAACTTTTGGTCTCTTGACGGATTTTATCACCTCTTGATCAAACTGTTTAGAGAGCTGAGTTTCTCCTGCGTGAAGGACCTTGACCGCACCGGTCGTGTGATGCAGATTGCATTTGTAGACGGTTCCATAGGCTCCGATTCCGATCTTGAGATCTTCAGAGAAATCAGAGGTCGCAGCTGCGATTTCCTCCCAGGAGTAGTGTTGGTATTGGATCCCGGGAGAGACGAGAGAAGCCTGGAGCTTATCTTTCTCCCTAGCGTCGCGCTCTGCTTTGATCTCAGCTTCTCTTCTTTGTAAAGCCTCTTTCAGCATGAGTTCTTTGACCTTCTCTGCTTCCTTCATCGCCTCTTCGTACCTATGCTTCTCCTTTGAAGCTGTATCTTTCGCTACTTCTTCCTTTTCCTTCAGCTCCACAAGCTTCTCTGACTCCTTGAATCGTCGCTGGTTCAGCTCTGTTAGCTGCAACCAAAACAAGATCAAGAACGCACAATGTTAAAACAGAGCGGAGGAAAACACGCCACGGTCTTATACAGTTCAAAAACTTAACCTTTTTGGAAGCATCAACAGTCTCAGTCTGAGCCATGGCATACATCTCCTGAACATGTTTCAGCTCAGCTCTCAGCTTCTCTATCTCAAAGCTCAGATTCACCTACATAAATCACATCCAATCTCAGTTCCGAATCAAAACAAGTTCTGTCTCTCTGAAAAGACATGATCAAGAAGAATAATTTACCTGATTATCTGTCATGGAATGTACACTGAGGAGTCCATCAGACATGTTAGAAGCTTGATGAGAAACCCAAGAATAGTTCTCAGGAACCACCGCACCCCAATCCATATTCGCTAGCTCGTGGTTGTTGCTGGAAGACGAGCTCATGATCTCTCTCCTGTCCTCGTGATCTCTCCATTTAGAAGCCCAGCTCATCGCGTGATACGCCTCTGTTCCCATAGGGAACGACGCGCTAAAGCTCTCATCTTTATTCTTCTTCCCTTCGCTGCCGCTATGTACAATCTCCATCCCTCTCCCTCTACATACTTCAGACTGCTCCGTCTCGCTAGAACTCGTATCCATTTGAACCACTGCACTGCTGCTCATATCCGAGAATGTTGAATGCTTTGGAGCCGGATAGAAAGGAGAGACTCTGGATTGTGCTTCCGAGACAAACGAGAGAAAGTCTTGGTACTCTGTTTTTCAGACGAGCAAGTAAATAAAACTGAAACATTTTCTTAAGCATTTTTGATTCAGTTGATGTAAGAAATTTACCAGAAGGGACTGTAGGACTATCAGTGGAGCCACTCGTGGAGCTGCTTCTCTCGAACCTTATGCTTCCGCTAGCGTCTGAATCGGAAGGACGCACGGAAGCAAGTTTCCCCTTTGAGACTACATAGACTGTGCAGAATCTCGGGACAGCAGTGGCGATCATGGAAGACATGTCGATCTTTCTTGAGAAGAATCCGCGAAGAGACATTCCTATAACGAGTTTCGTGACTCCGGTTCCAGCAATCTCTTCAGCTATCGCAGCTTCAGGGTCGTGTGATTCCAGCACCAGAATCTCTACTTGCACCTATGTTATACCATTTGGGGTTTTTGTTTTTTTTTTCAGATTTTGAGATAACAGAACAAAAAAAAAGGAGAGAGATTTAGATTTTTAATTTCTTGAGACGGAACCTTTCTCCTTTCGAACATTTTCTTGTAAGGACGAAGCATCTCGTTTGTGTTCCAATCCACTTCTTGTTTATAAGCTGACACTACGTCGTCTCTAAGCTCAGATATCGATATCGCATTCCCCACTGAAATCAAACCGTAACCCAAATAAGAAAAGACTTGATCTTTGTACCCAAAACACAAATCTATTGCATTAGTTACAAGATTCTAAATGTTTTAGTCACAACTTACTTGGGGTAGGGATGTAAGTGACAGGAGGACGAACATAGAGCAACTTGAAATCAGAGAATCCTTCGGGGATGAATTTCTCAAGAGCCCAAAAGGCCACGTATTTGCTCTTTTTCTTTCCATTAATGGCTACAGCTACAACAGGAGATGGTGGTGGAGGAAGCGATAAGTGTTCGCTTAACGCTTTACCTGTTTTTTTCTCTTCCATTGTGTTACCTGAAACTTAAAAATAAAAACTGTTTCTTCAAACTCTTGCAAGAACTCATAGTTTGAGATAGAGTTTTGCAGGCGAATTGATGCAATTCAATAGGTTTTAACGAAGATGTAAATGTAACAGAGCAAGGGAGCTTTCAGACAAAACAAAACATACCCAGTAGTTCTGTTCAAGCAGAGAACAAAAGAGGAGGAAGAAGAAGAGCCCTAAGTTTGGTGATGTTATGACATTTTCTTAATGCGAAATCATTGACGGAGAGGGAAGGATTAGGGCACAAGCTAGCACGTTGTTGCCGCCACCATCCTATTTATACTGTTATAGTCAGCTCACTAATTAATTATTTTACTTCATACATTGAAACAAATGATACAGACTTTTCTCTGTTTTATTTCTTTAAATTTCTATTATAAAGTAGCTAAGGATATATAAATCGTTATATTTACTCGTAAAAGGATGTACGTTGGTATATCCCTCAGGTTGCAGTTTTTGTTTTAAATAAACAAAGTCAAACAATTAGCAAACAAAAAAGGATTGAGAACTAAAGAATAAAACAAAACGTCTATATATCGGGAGAAACCATTAAACCATTAACTTACATGTAGAAATAAAAATGAAGACATGCTTTCTTAAAATAATGAATCGTAGAAACTACACTTATATTTAAGGTTGACAAAAAAGCTACACTTATTATTACCGCTAAAATATTCTACTGAACATTATACTGTATTTCTTTATGTTGAAGTTGGTTAGTTTGTGTTTACCGATAAAGATATTGAGATCAAGCTTAAAATTATAGGATATATCATTCTTAGGATTAGTTGCCTGCATGACACTCTTTTCCGGTTTGTCACGTCTTTTATTTTATTACCATTTTCCTACTAAACGTTATGATTACCTATTCTAATAAACAAAAATTATAACATGTATTGTATATATTAAGAACGATAGTCATACAGAATCGTCGTAGAGGATATCCGAGGAATTCCTCTAATTTTATGTGCTCGTGTATTCACAAAAACAAGAGTTTTTTTTTATTGCCAATAAAAATAAGCTCTTTACATTCAACTATTTAAATTACAGAAAGTCAACTATGTTCATATGTTTTGTTTGTTGTTTACTCCCTTTTGTCTGATCGATTCAGACAAAGCCTAAATTGCCCAATGGGGAACAGATTTCTGTTTAAAGAAACAATATTTCAGAATACTCCAAACGAGCTTGCCATTCCGTATTTCCAGACATGAACTTCGTGTCGTTTCTTTATCTACAAACTACAATCATTTTTTGAACACCTTCAGACCCTTTTTTCTATTCATACCAAAAATTTCAAGAAATTCTCATTTGATGATAAGAATCAAAAACAGTAAAGATTAGTACCGGTTTCATGGGAGAACTGTGAAGACTTGAACATCGTCCATGTAAGGATCATGGACTGAGTACTGGAACGTCCAACCATGGCAAGCTCCTGCGTGAGACCCGTTCTTGTCAACGGCCACAACCGCTCCCACGAAATCCGGAAACTTCCTTGCGATTCTTGACATCGCGTCTTTGGCAGCTTCTTCTGGTTTCATTCCTTGCCTCATGCTCTCCACAACTTGATAACTGAAACCTCATTTTAAAAAACAAGAGGAAGCTCACTTCACAATGCCATACATAGATTCACTTTCAGCCCCACGAGAAGAGACATGTACTGGCCTTTGGATTTGCTTCATGGAGATTTAAGTAATTTACCAAGGGAGGAAACGCATCATGATGTCGCCATCTCCAGTTGCACCACATCCACCTACTTCATCATCGGCATAAGCTGATGAGCCGGCGATAGGCCCGTCACCTACTCTGTGTGTCATCATCAAGATAGATAGGTTAAGTTTAGTTCAGGGACAAGGCTCGGTTTTAAGAGTAGTACCTTCCGGGAATCTTGAATGTGGCTCCATTGGTTGATGTCCCAACAGCTATATGCCCCATCTATTAGAAGGAGACTATGCTCAGTTTCTCTCGTCATGGCAAACAAAAATATGATAAGAGAATATAACTGAAACAAAACTTACTTTGTCAATGACAGCCATCGATATGGTATCGTGATTGTGAGGACCAACAAGAGGAGGTCTATACACAATCCTTCCCATCTCGCAAGAATCAGCGGGTATGTCTCCAGAAACAACCATAGCACCATTATTTGGCTTGTAAGGTCCACAGTCATCTTCAGGGACTACGTTCTTCCTGAAATTGGGTTGACATCGGTTCTTTCTCCAGTCCGACCACTTCTTTACGGATTCAGGGGAGCTTAGGTTCATGGGTCCAGGAAGACCCATGGAGATAGCAAACGCTGACGCTCCTTCTCCCGCGAGCAACGTGTGTTGAGAGTATTTCATCACCAGATTCGCAGCTCTAATACCGTCTTTGACATACCGCATTGCAGCAACAGCTCCAACCTCCATAGTCACCTATGAGTGTCCTTGTAATAACCGGAAAAGAATAGACTTTGATAGTCATTCTTCATGAACTTGACACAAATATGGGATTTATATCAAACGGAGCATTATACCAAAGATTAATTACCCCATCCATGACTAAAGCATCAATCATGGTCTCACCATTCTCATTTGGACTTCCTCCAGGCCCAACTATGAAATACCAAATATGAAAACTTTATCTTGCAGAAAGTGAAACCACAGAAATAAAACGTTTCGACACAGACAGAAAAAAATCGATAGCTCACCTGTACCGTCACAGCGGAGCTCCTCACACGCAGAACAACCTTTTACGACAGCTTCTACTGCAGAGCTCCCGTTATCAACTGCTCTCCAAGCAGCTCTAACGGCCTCAATGAATGGCCAAGTACTCACCACTACCGGAAACTTGTCAGATTTCTCCAATCCCGCTTCAGCTACCTGTAAACCCAAACCATTCATACACTATCCAGTTTGTGCTATGAGAGTTGCCAAGTCCCTAAGCAAGTTTTAGTACGGATTTTGATGAATTGGGCATAGAATGAAACATTAATCAGTACTCAAAATATTCTTCAATAAGTATGTATATCCAACTCCAAGTATCCAAACCAGCAGCTAAAGACTCGATTTTTAATAGCATTCTCAAAGTATGTACAGTATATCCAAAATAAGAAAAAGCACTCAAATTGGCAAAACCTAGCGTCTGAATCTCGTAAATCAGAGATATATCTCGACCTGGAAGTAGGAATCCAAAACGCTTTTATCAAAAAAACTCTTACTAGTGATCAAAGATCCGATAAGTCTTTCTTTCCCAATTCCTTTTTGACTTTTCGGAGGAAAAAAAATGAATTTGAAACACTTACCGTCAGTAGAGGCAGACACAGAAGGAGAGTAGAGAGAAAAATTGAAAGATCGTTTCTCGCCATAGCTTTGACCTGTGAGCTTCGGGAGCTGCAGCAAAAGGTATGTCTGCTGTGTTTGACTAAATGGTCGATTGGTCTGCTCAAGAGTCATGACTGACAGTTTATACGGTTCGGTTTGATTGGTTTGAATAAACCGATTTGGTAAGGAAATAACCAACCAGCGGTTCTCTGATTAGCAGTGTTCTAGCTAATTGCGTAGACTAAGGAAACGATCCGGATACTGATTTCTTATAAAGCCAAAAGAACTTATTTTTATTAAACAGTTTCTTAAGTCTATAAACAATGTTACACAAGAACGATATTAAACAAAGCTTATTTACTGAAACCACTAGTTAATCATCATCCACATCAAAATGCATATGTTCTTCTAACGGTTTCTTCTCCCGACTTGAATCTCGAATCATCAGAGTAAGATTGGTTAATTGTTGTTTTTCACCTCCACACAGTCTCGCCTGCATCCGTGAAAATCGCATTATGATGTTCAATCAGGCACTGCACAACCTCGACCGCACCAAAGTCAACTTCAACGATATCATCAAGAGGGATCGATGAAGATGCATCTACACCTTCTTCTCCTTCATCTGTAACCATTAAAGATAAATAATGGAACTCTGCTTCAATGGTAAGAGTACAAAAGCTCAAGTGTTTTTTTAGTTTACCTGACAGCAAGTCCCATGGAGAAGCAGTTTCAAAGTCATTGCTTTTCTTTGGACTCCTCGATGGGCGTCTCCAATATTCCCGATAAGATTCAGGCCTCTTGTCTTCTCGCCACATGATCACTGGAGCCATTTCCATAGCTAAGCTGTGTGAATCCATCTGTCCAAATGCAAGAAAATGATTCTCAATCATCAGGTTATACAGCAAAACACATGATTTTGAGTATCTAGAATCAGAAATCAGGGTTAGCTTATAACCATGTTAAGTGATTATATATATAAGATATGATCCTACCTTGTTAAGTAGTGATTTCTGGCTCACACGAAGTAATAACGCCGTTATGAACTCAAGTGTGTTAAAGTTCACATTTGAAAGCTTCTGGAGTGACTTTCTCATTCTGTTTACGCTCGACCTTGCATCTTTGATTTCATTATAAAGCTCAAAAGTAGTCAGTGGCGTCGGAAGGCTGGCAAGATAGTATTTCATGAGTGCAGCGACGTCAACAGGATTCAAGCCTTCAGGTATTGACGCGCTGGGATCTATCAAACAAGTGATTGATTCAACACAAATTCTCACTGAACCATAAGAGTCGAGAAGGAAAATTTTTGTTAGAATGTTGGTTACCTTGATTGTAAGCAGAAACCAATTGATGGATCACCTTTTTGTCTCCTTCGGCTTTGAACAAGCTCGGTGAATTCAGTCCTGAGAAGAAGATGTATCACATTTGATAGCACGGTGTGAGAAGGTAAGAGCTATATAAAAGCATTACGAGCGCACAATTCGTTGAAATGTTCTTACCTGTTGATATGAGATAATCAGCGGATTTAATCAGTATAAATGGAATAGGCCTGCTTGACTCCTGCCGCTGGACAGTGACCTCAATCGCAACACCAAACACTGAGCACAAAAAGATTGTCATATAGTGAAAGTTACCGCATTTTCCAAACACTGAGCACAAAAACCTCCTAAGTATTCCCACAACTCTCTACCAAAGAATCCATTGATTGTGATTATCTTACCATCTGAGCTGGCAACTCCCTGCAGTTTTATAAAAGAACAAATATTTAGAGACCAAACTCAAATCAACTGCAAGAATCATATCTGAAGCTCAAATACCTTCTGCCATCTTTCGATATCCGTCAAAAGGGTCTTGCTCTTTTGCGCAGTCTTTTTCGCCGCCTAAAGAGAAGACCAAAGAGTTTAGCCGTTAGAGAATGAAGCGGCATCCATTCTTGTTCGACTAAGTTCGAGAAAGCTATTTGACTAGCATACCTCTTCCACTTTGATCTTTCCAACGGAAACCTTTTCCTTTGTCTCAGTGATACCCTTCCTGACCAATGTCCCGGTCGTGGCAGCAGCGGTTATGAGGTGTTCTTGCACGGCATGTCTAGTTGCAGGCTGCTGAAGAATCGCCCACCGGCTTTTGAACAACGACCCGACTCGTTCTGCAACATCAGCAACATTCACTTTCGCATCCTTTGCGACTTCCCCGACAAAACTACCAGCTGTTTGCCCGGCTTCCCTAAGCTTCGTTCCTAGTTCAGTAAAAACCATTTTAAGCCTTCCACCACAAACTCTCTCACACATAGAGAGCAAAAAAAAGAGGTCAGTATAGAGATGATCTAACCTGATGATGAAAAGAATCCACTAGTTCTCTCCTGCCATTGTTGTGACATGAGAGAAGGCATTTTCCAATACTGATGACTTCAAACAATTTACTGGAAACCTGTTTCGATCAAGAAACAAATGTTTCGTGTACTCAATATTCGTTATTCTACGCAAATTATGTTTGAGTATGACACAAACTCATAAGCGGTATAATCCGTTGTAATCAATTTCGTCAAGTATAATTCATCTAAAATCTTCATCCAATCATATACAATTATTACAGAAGAAACAAATCGTAGACTCCATTTCACCTTTTCTAATACAGAAAAACAAAACCTTAAAAACTAATTCCCAGCCTTGACTATAATCGTCGTCAACCATCATATGAATTTCTTGAGAAAATCAAACCCCAAGTCTTTAACTAGAAAAGAAGATAGCTTTTTCAAGGAACACAAACCCTAACCTATATTTTCTAGCCAATCAAAAAAATCAAAATAACAAATTCACAAAGCAATCGATGATCATCAAACCTTTTAAAAATCCCCAGAAATTTGAGATAGCTGGTGATGGAATCGAACTAACCCCAATTCGTCGATACGATCAAAGACGACGACGAGAGTCGGGGGGAGTCAGCGATTTGAAGAAAAGTAAAATTGATCGCTCCAGGAGAACAAAAGGTTCCACCTTTTTATTTTCCTGGAGCAAAGAAAAAAAAAAAGAAAAAAAAAAAAACCGGCTTTAAATTTTGAATAGGAGGGTCTTCCTATTCTCCGTCACAGGCCTGTGACGGAAACAAATGTTCTGTTTTTCTCACGTGTAAGAATTTCAGGAGGTTTTTCTGATTCAGATGAATCAAAATCTAACCATTTTTTTTTTGTTAAATACTTTGAGATTATTTACTTGTCCTTCGTCCTCTTTTATTATTGCAATTAAGACCTAAGCTTTTTAAGTTTACAGCTTAGCCATTTGATGTCTAATGTTTTGTGCCATAGTGTAATAAAACTAAATATGCGGGATAAAATAATATTAAAGAAAGAAAATGTTACATTCATAAATTTTTACTTTATAAAATTACATTATATTGTTTATGTGATTTGCCAACATAATTAACCCATAAAATTGATAGCTTCTCACTGAATTCTACATAATCAAGACAATTTCTGTATTGTGGAGTTAATCTATCAAAACTTGCAACTTGGTGGGTCCGATCTCATCGCAAGAGCTTATAATCCAATCGTTAAACATTAAGATAATTATCTCTCTTCTTTTCATCAAATAAAATGTGAGATCAATCAAAAAACAAAAGGCGTAATGAAGAAGGTAGGCAAAGAGAAAAAAACATATTGACTTGTCTACGGGATAGAAAATATCTTTCTTCACATGTCTCTTCCTTCGATGGTCTACTATCGATAAACAAGAACCAAAAATTCCACACTCAAGTCCAAAAAACACACCAATGGGCCAACAAGTTTGTCTACATTGAAACTCATCAACCTTTAGAGGATAGACTAAAATCTACAATCTTTAAAAAGATTTATTTGGCCATTTCTAAAAATTTATAACTTGATTTTCTTATCTTTCTTGATTAAAAAGATCACTTGTGTTGTGTCTGATTGTCTCTCCACATGGGAGAAGAAGAAGAAACAAGAAAAGAAGCCATGGCTGCATCAGAATCTGGCGGGAAGATAACTTATTTTGTGGTGGCATCATGTGTTATGGCCGCCATGGGAGGTGTCATCTTCGGCTACGACATCGGTGTTTCAGGTTTACATACTTACAGTTTCCTACAATCGAAATAGTAGAATTTATGGCTGATAAGAAAAAAAAAGACTTCTTAAAGCTGTGTTAGATTTGATATGCAAATCACGTAATGATCAATACGTAGGTGGAGTGATGTCAATGGGGCCGTTCCTGAAAAGATTTTTCCCAAAAGTGTATGAACTCCAAGAAGAAGATAGAATAAGAAGAAGCAGTAACAACAAGAACCACTATTGCCTTTTCAATAGCCAACTTCTCACGTCCTTCACGTCTTCTCTCTACGTTTCTGGTTTCATCGCTTGTCTGTTTGCTTCGTCGGTGACTCGTTCCTTCGGTCGCAAGCCCTCTATATTTCTCGGCGGCGTGGCCTTTCTTGCTGGCTCTGCTCTCGGCGGCTTTGCTCAAAACGTTGCTATGCTCCTCGTTGCACGTCTCTTGCTCGGCGTAGGAGTTGGATTCGCAAACCAGGTGACCTTAAAAATAGTTGATATCGGTGTGATTTTGGTTAAGGTTAAAAATGAGTAAATAGTCGGAAAGTGCGAGAGTTTTGGGGTTAAAATGTTACAAAGTCGGTTTCTAAGGCAAATTTGTGACAAAAGACGAGTTGATTGGTCGAGATTGATTTTTCTAATGGTGATTCGATTGGGGTTGGTGGGGTTTAAAGCTTAATAGGCAAGAGTTTTGGGGTCAAATTGCTATAAAAACTTTTTAGGGTGTACTCGTCAATCAGTTTTTTGAACTTTTTTAATTGAACAAAAAACTGAACTTTGTTCTGTTTGTTTCAATTTCAGTTTGAATGTTTTCTCACTGTCGGGTTTCTCCTTTTAACAGTCGGTTCCTCTATACCTCTCCGAGATGGCGCCGGCGAGATACAGAGGAGCAATCAGCAATGGTTTCCAGCTCTGCATCGGAATCGGATTTCTAACTGCAAATTTCACCAACTACGAAACCCAAAAGCTCAAAGGCGGTTGGAGAATCTCTTTGGCCACAGCCGCGATTCCGGCTTCAATCCTCACGTTAGGCTCTTTCTTTCTCCCGGAAACACCCAACAGTATCATACAAACCACCGGAGACGTTCGCAAGGCCGAGCTCATGCTCCGCCGTATCCGCGGAACAAACGACGTTCAAGACGAGCTCACCGATCTCGTCGCGGCGAGTTCTGAATCAAATTCAAACGCAAACGCACACCAAATGTTTACGAAATTGCTACGGAGAAAATACAGGCCTGAGTTAGTGATGGCTTTTGCGATACCTTTCTTTCAGCAAGTTACGGGGATCAATGTCGTTGCTTTCTACGCACCGGTTCTGTTTAGAACCGTCGGTTTCGGCGAGAGCGGTTCCCTGATGTCGACACTCGTGACCGGAATCGTTGGCACAGCTTCGACGTTGTTATCGATGCTTGTGGTGGACAGAATCGGTAGAAAGACTCTGTTTTTGATCGGAGGGTTACAGATGCTTGTGTCGCAAGTTATCATCGGTGTGATCATCATGGTGGCTGAGGTTCACGACGGAGTGATCGGGGAAGGATACGGTTACGCCGTTGTGGTTTTGGTGTGTGTCTACGTGGCGGGGTTTGGTTGTTCGTGGGGTCCACTAGGGTGGCTTGTACCGAGCGAGATCTTTCCGTTGGAGATAAGATCGGCGGCGCAGAGTGTGACGGTGGCTGTGAGTTTTGTGTTCACTTTCGCTGTGGCTCAAAGCGTACCGCCGATGCTATGCAAGTTCCGAGCAGGGATTTTCTTCTTTTATGGAGGGTGGGTGGTGGTGATGACGGTGGCGGTGCAGCTATTTTTGCCGGAGACTAAGAATGTTCCGATAGAGAAGGTGGCTGCACTTTGGGAGAAGCATTGGTTTTGGAGGAAAATGACTAGGAAGCGTGATATTCAAGAAACAGACATACTTGGGTCTTCTTAAGAATTAATCCCTCAAACATAAATCTCTGTGATATGGTGAAATTGAATATATAATTTAACAATCTCTGTGATATGGTGAAGTTGAATATATAATTTAACAAATTGCGGATTCACACTTGTATATACAAAGATAAACAGGTGTTTAGATGTTTGTATAAGTGTTTTATAAACATATTAAAAGTAACATGGGTGATAGTGTATTTATTAAAAGTTAAAGGACGAAGATAGGAAAAGCAAATAAAGTTAAGTGGAAGAGAGGAGAGGGGGCCGTAGAAAAATGGCAGCATTGACTCTTCATCACTCGTGTCTTCAGGCGTCTGGACATCTGTCACGTCGTCTATATCACCAAAGCTTCTCCAGTTTTCCACGAAATCCCATAAAAGATCTCATCTTTCGTCTAAGCCCTGCCGAGTTGTCGAGTTTTTCGTTGTCTAGACGTGGCAACGCGGTTTCTGTAAGAGCGCAGTGTACAGTCTCGGTGGAGGATTCGCCGGAGAAGAGGATGGTGAAAGGTATTAGGGTTTACGAGCATGGCGGTCCTGAGGTGAGTAAAGATTCGATTTTGGAACTCCGGGTCCGATTCTGGTCATTATAATCAGATTAGGTTCCGATTGTGATCTCTCTGTATGCGTCTATGATTAGAATTTAAGTGATTTGGAGATTCACTATAAGCTTCAATTCCGTAACGCTGATAGTCTCTTGTTACAGTTAAGCCTGACCTGATAAAACTCAATTGTAATCCAATGGATCGTAATTCTTGGTCTAGGTAATAGTGAAACACTGATAAAAAATGTTTTAGCTTTTCTGCAATGGGTAGTCTTTTCCAGGTGAATGGATTCGAGCTTAACTCGAAATTGATGATTATTTACTGAATCACTGATGTGTATTCTAATCAGGGCATTTCAAACAAAGCTTTGGTTATTTGTAAGATTCAGGATCTATGCGATATTTTGATGTAGAAACTTGTGATCGTTTCTCACGTTCTCTTTGATCTGTATTCTCTCAGCATCTCATTGCGTTTCTGTTTCTTTAATTGTAAGGTTCTGAAATGGGAAGATGTGGAAGTAGGGGAACCAAAGGATGGGGAGATACGAGTGAAGAACAAGGCGATCGGGCTCAACTTCATTGATGTTTACTACAGGAAAGGTGTTTACAAGCCGGCTTCTATGCCCTTCACACCAGGTTCTGCTCTTTTGATTACTACAGAAAAAGAAAAGAAACTACTTTTGTTTTTCCCTAAACTAATGTGCCATTTCGGTTTATACAGGTATGGAGGCTGTAGGAGAGGTGGTAGCTGTTGGGCCGGGATTGACCGGCAGAAAGATCGGCGATCTCGTTGCTTATGCTGGAAATCCGATGGGTGCGTACGCAGAGGAACAAATCCTTCCAGCAGATAAAGTGGTTCCTGTTCCTTCATCTATTGATCCTATCGTCGCAGCATCAATCATGCTCAAGGGCATGACTGCACAGTTTCTCCTTCGCCGTTGCTTCAAGGTTAGTTCCACTGAAAGTTTGCAAATTTCTTTATAGTGTAAAGATCTCATTCACTATATGACTCGAGTCCTATTTGTCTTTGGGGAAGGTCGAACGTGGGCACACAATCCTCGTTCATGCCGCAGCTGGTGGAGTTGGGTCTCTGTTGTGTCAGTGGGCAAATGCGCTTGGAGCCACTGTCATTGGAACTGTCTCTACCAATGAGAAAGCGGCTCAAGCCAAAGAAGATGGATGCCACCATGTTATTATGTACAAGAACGAGGATTTTGTTTCCCGGGTCAACGATATCACATCGGGTAAAGGAGTCGATGTTGTGTATGACTCGGTGGGAAAAGACACCTTTAAGGTAAATTGCCATGAAAGAGCCGTCAAGACCGTTTATGTTCTCAGATGTCTCATTGTGAAATCTTTGATGTGTTTTCAGGGATCGTTAGCGTGTTTAAAGAGCCGGGGATACATGGTGAGCTTTGGACAATCGTCGGGATCTCCAGATCCGATTGCATTATCTGATCTTGCACCAAAGTCGCTCTTCTTGACAAGACCATCCATGATGCAATACAATGAGACTCGAGACGAGATGTTGGAGTGTGCAGGGGAGGTTTTCGCCAATGTTGCTTCGGGCGTCATAAAGGCTCGTGTGAACCACAAGTACCCGTTGTCTCGGGTCGCTGATGCTCACGCAGACCTTGAGAACAGGATCACCTCTGGCTCCGTTGTGCTCTTACCGAGTTACCGTGGAAACATGTAATGCTGTTGCTATTTATCTTTGAATAAGACTAGTGATATTCCTCTGTAATGGAACAAAAACATCGAATGTTACTATTCGGACCTGGAAGACAGTTAAAAAGAGGAGGAATTTACCATTTTCCATTTTTCTTAGTTTGAATTGGATGATGACAAAAGAAAATTGAACTTCTTCATGAAATGAAAAAAAAAAAAGGGGGGGCAAAATCGGAAATATATAAACTTATGAGGATTAATCAAAAACAATTTCTCCTGAGATTACTTGGGCTCAAAATCGAATCTCCGATTATAAATTCTTCGTAGATACGAGAAATTCGTTGTGGTTCATAACTGCATATAACAATCGATTGGATTTTGATTCATCGGTGAGATCAAAAGATGGTGCTTTCGCAAAAGCTTCATGAAGCATTCAAAGGCACGGTGGAGAGGATCACAGGCCCTCGTACGATCTCGGCGTTCAAGGAGAAGGGAGTACTCAGCGTCAGCGAGTTCGTACTCGCCGGCGATAACCTCGTCTCCAAGTGCCCAACCTGGTCCTGGTTAGTTCCAATTTCGAGTTTTTATTTGAGAATAATTTCGAGTTCGTGAGTTTTGCGATTTCCACAACATGTGTTAGCTGTGAACTTTGATCGTCGAGGATTCTGGGTCAAAGGGTCTCTCTGGGTTGGCGATAAATCTATTGGCTTTCAATCGTTATATACAATTTTGTGAGATTGTGATGGGATTCAATCAAAATATGAGCTATTACATATTGGGTTTTGCGCTTTGTTATATGGCTTCTTGTTCATTCCCTTTACGATAGACATATCTTCTATTGATGTTTAAGCTTGACACTTTTCAAATAGGGAATCTGGTGACCCAAGCAAAAGGAAGCCATACTTGCCCTCGGACAAACAGTTTTTGATTACTAGAAATGGTAAATTTAGAATCTTTAGAGCTGGCTTTGTAGTTTATGGATGCACATTCTTTAAAGTTTAGGGCTTTTCTTATGGGTCGACAGTACCTTGTCTACGGAGAGCTGCATCTGTGGCAGAGGAATATGAAGCTGCTGGAGGTGAAGTGTTGGTTGATGATGAAGATAATGATGGTTGGCTTGCGACACATGGGAAACCCAAAGGTTGGTTTTCGTATTGAGAGATTAATTTCCTCTGGAAGCCACTTTTTTCTCCCATTTAGCTTTTTGTCTCAATATTTGCCACAGATAAAGGCAACGAGGATGAGAACTTGCCATCCATGGATGCCTTGGATATAAACGAGAAAAACGCTATACGATCAATACCTACGTATTTTGGAGGCGAGGAAGAAGAAGAAATCCCAGACATGGAAGAGTTTGATGAGGCTGACAATGTGGTGGAAAATGATCCTGTGAGTTGTTTTTTCTATTTACTCTCACTATATCCTGTGTCTTTGTTATTGCTCTTGGATGATAATTGGTTTTGAGTTGTGCACGTGGATTTAAGACTGGCGTGTGTAGCTGTAATTTGCCTTCGAACATATTTCTGGTTTTCCAGTTTCTTGGTCTACGAGTAGTTATTGAAAAAAATCTCTCTCTTCCTTGATTCAGGCAACTCTTCAGACAACTTATCTTGTGGCTCATGAACCTGATGACGATAACATCCTCCGAACTCGGACATATGATATCAGCATAACGTAACCATCCTGTGCTTATTTCATACTCAAAGAATGAATTTCTGCATTTTGACTTTTAGATACAACTCTCATACTGTTGGCTCAGTAGTAGGCAAACTCATAATCCTTCACTTTGGTTCAGGTATGATAAGTATTACCAAACTCCTCGTGTTTGGCTGACCGGCTATGATGAGGTCTGCTTCTTGTTCATACTTGTTTCGTTTTTTTTTTCCAACTTGAAACTCTTGGATGTTTGTTGCTTGTTTATGTTTTCTGTTGTCTACTTAAGAGCTGTGATGTATCTATCTTGTAGTCAAGGATGCTGCTGCAACCTGAACTTGTAATGGAGGATGTTAGTCAAGACCATGCTCGTAAAACGGTAAAAAGAAGACGAATCTCAACTTGCATTAAATAATATTTTGTAAATCCACCCAAGTTTTCTCCTCTGAATCTGGCCAATGTAGATTGATTGTGTGATCCTCCGTTAAAACAAAATTCACAGGTCACAATTGAAGATCATCCACACTTGCCTGGGAAACATGCTTCAGTCCATCCATGTCGACATGGAGCTGTTATGAAGAAAATCATTGATGTATTAATGTCACACGGAGTAGAACCTGAAGTTGACAAGTGAGTGGTTTTATTGCAAATAACTCTTATAGTTCATTGGGACTTGCTGGTCACACCATTGCTATTTTCACAGGTACCTCTTCCTGTTCTTGAAGTTCATGGCGTCAGTTATTCCAACAATCGAGTATGATTACACGATGGACTTTGATCTCGGTAGCTCAAGCACCTAATACCAGGTGAGATCTCCTTCTCACTGTCTATCTATCTATTCTCTTCATATACAGTATTACTTGGTAAATCTGGTACACAAGGTAAATCTGGTACACAAGCTTTTATCTTACACTTGGATACGCATTCGCTTTTGGTGTTTTACTAGATTTTACACGAACATGGGCTCGTGAATCCAAGAAGCAATCAGTGGTCTCATGGATGGCTTGGTGGCTCTGCACTGTACATAAAACAGAGTCATCTCTTTCTTTTCTTCTTCAAAAGAAACTGTAAGGTGTTGTGTTTTAATCACCTGTTCATCTCATGTCTACGCCGATGAATAGTACTCAGAAAACGAGTATTTGATCAGTCTTTGGTTCAAAAAACGAAATTTGGTAATGTAACTCTGTGCGCATATCTAATTTACTTTGAAGAAGTTGAACTTCATGTTTCAAATGACATATATTGTTATTGACACCACTGTTTTTATTATTACACTAGAGTAGCACAAGTATCAACATATTTCTGCTGCAGAGGTTACACTTACAATTGTAATGTGGGATCATAGTTTGGTTCATGAAAGCTTCCTATCTAGCTCTCGTGACTCGAGTTACTAGCACGATAAGCAGGATAAGGACGGTGAGCAGAACCGTCAATTGTAGCTTCTCCATCACCGGCGCAGCGCCTGTGGCTAACACAACCGTCTCATCTCCAGGAACATCAACACTGAAGAGGTCAGTGACGTACTTTGTGACTCTCTCCATTGCGTCCATGAGTTTGATGGCACTTCTCTCGAACAACCTCCTTATGAAGTTCGCGGTCGAACCAGAGTCCTCTTTTGATCTGTCAACTGCGTTATAAATCAAGGAAACCTCTTACATAATCATCGAGTGGAAGTAGAACCAACTAGGATCCATTGATCCTATTTATATAGTTTTTACCGTTGGTTATGAGCTCCCGCACGACCTCATTGTTCATCACCGCATCCCAAACTGCCCTGTCTGAAGCCAGTGACAGAACCATTCTCTGCGACAGTAGACAAGACACCAATGTCTGCCTCAGTTATCTGCAATGTCTTTAGCAAATGATGGAACTCAAGACCGCGATCAGACAAGAGAAGAACCTGAACTGATGGATCGGTCTGAAAGAGATGAAAGGCGTCGTAGAATCTGTCCAGCATATAAGGCTGCAGAAGTCTAGTATTGCAGAGCTGCAATGGAGGCTCAATCCAATCTACAAACTCCAAATCTGAAACTTGGTCTTCTGATTTATCATCATCATCATCATGGAACATCCTAAAGGATAAACGATGAGTTATTTTGATCTTAAGACTGTCAAGATAACAATACTTGCTAAAAAGAGAAAACCTTTCACTTTCGAATTCTCACAAAACTCACAGTTGAAGTGCAGAGAAAGCATCCTCAACTTCGTCAAATTCCGGAGCTTTATCCGTAAATACATCAGTAGCCTCTCTTTCTACAGCCACCCACTCAAACTCATCCTCATCCTCCTCCTCCTCACCGTTAGATGGAGAAATTTGATCATAAGTCGACTTCGACGAATCAATCATCTGTTCAGATGATGAAACGGCGAGGACACTCGCCGGTGTGGAGGAGATAGAGGACGAAGAAATTGACGGTGACGGAGGAGGAGAAGTGGACATGAATGGTTTCTGATTGCCGAGATCGATCACAGTAACCGCATCAGCTTCTTCGAAAGTCTTCAGCTGTTCTCCGCCGCCGTCGGCAATTCTGTTGTCCATTTCGCCGTCACTTTTCTTGCTCTGTAAGCAGGAAACGGCGCCTAGTAATTAATAATGTGGAATAGTTATTATTTCTTATTTACATATTTTCTATTCAAGGCCTTATATTTCTACACTTGTATAAATCAGCCGTTTTACTTTTACAATATGAAAAATAAACCCGTTACCTTTAGAATCGTTCTTTTTAAACCCGATTTGGGCCAGATAGCGAAATGTCGGAAAGAGATCTCGTCAAAGTTGGGCCCAATATTTTATTGATGTTTGAGAGGTAAACGCACCATTGTTGAAGTTACACTAGTAATAGTCTACTACTATCTCTCATAATGAATTTATCTTAAGCCGATTCAACATTCTGAATATTGATACTTATATGTATAATGAAAATCGACTGTGGTTATAGAAGAGAGAAAAAAAGGTCAATGGGCATATATTATATATGGGCTGTCCTCCAATTTTTCCCAAGTTTCACCCCACAATGATAACATTTTGTTCTTTTTAGTGGGGAAATTTCGAAAAGGAAAAGACAAGATTTTGAAATGAAAATGATGATTAGGATTGTTGATTTAAGATCCCGTGGGAATAATCATCTATTCCAAAAAAAAGTAGACCATCTATTTTCCATGAACAAAATGATTACACGTTTTGATAAAATAATTTTGTTTGTTTGTTTCATTGATTCTACCATCTAAGCTGCTTAACAACTTTGCAAATGTTATGGAATTTTATAGGTTAATGATAATGCATTATTGTCACTTTAAATGTGCTCATAACTTCAAGCTAAAGCATCTCTGTGCTCACAACACATATGACAAAATATTAAAAAGCATGGGCCATGTTAATTAAATTTGTTCAAATATGTGTTTTTGACTTTTTGTTTTAGTTTGAGTGTTTTTAATTATACCAATAACAGAAACTAATTTAACAAACCTTTTTCATACATCCAAAAAGAGATTTGGTTAGTGGGGATGATCAGACTACTTAAACTATAGACAAAACTGACATCTAATTTGGCTTCATGTGAGCAATATATGGATATTAGTGTCAAATCGTTTTTTATAATAATTCTGCTGAGGTTGACAAAAAAAATAATGTATATTCAACAATCTAAGTAAATGTGTCTATTCATTATAGGAAAAAAATATGTACATTCCAAAAAAAGATGAGTTGGTCTAAGGCTAAGGCTAAAATGTAAAATTAAATACTTTTTTCATCTAGTGGTTACGAATAATTTTTATTTAAACAAAAAGGTATGTAATTTTTTAGATAATTAGTATTATTTTTGTTTGTATGATTATATATGTTGCATGTTGAATTTGTCGTAGTCAAGTATTGTACGAATTGAATTGTTTATATGAAATAGTTAGTTCTTTAGATTGTAGATTATCATTTATAGTATATTAATAATATAATTTTCTAATAGGAGCTTAAAAAAAAATATGATACTTGACATTCACACTTTGAAAAAATCATTTGATTACTTAAAAACAAGATACAAAAGTGTCATAACAAATGTTAAATACAATACAAAAGTGTCATAACGGTGGTATATCCAAAAAGAACAAAATAAATAAATATGAAAATAGATACATAATGAAATGGCCTCACTCCCATCAATCGTTTTCTTTCTCTCTTTATTTCATCCTCTTAATTTACTTTTGAAGAATGTTCAATTCTTTCATCATTCTCTTGAGGAAACTTTTATTATTATTGTTCCTTTCTTTTCTACTTTTCTTTTTGTGTGTCTTGTATGCTTTCAAATCTGAATTTTCCTCTAAATTATACATCTACATGTACAAACAAAAAAAACAACTTGAATACGATGGCTCTGTAACAAATTTTGAATACGATGGGCTCATTTCAATCCAATTCCACTTTATCATCCTTCAGAGTTCAGTTAGGGGTAATACCGTCATATGGCAAAAGGTAAAACATACCATACTGTTGTTGCGAAAAAGACACGCGTGACAAAGAAACACTAACAAAAGATAAATCAAACGACGCATGCCTCTACACAATTATTTTCATTATTGCTGTCTATTTATTTTTATAAAACATTCAGAAAAATTAGGACCATGGTCCTATAGGACGAGTGTGTATGAACGTTTATCATTCTACTTCAAACGTACATTCTCCATATACTTTAGGCTACAAAATCATTTGAAGGAAAATAAAAAACTGCACCATCAGTAACTTCGTATATTAAATATAACAAAGTTGACTACATATAAGCTCGTCCATTTATCCATATAGAAGTCGTACAGTTTTAAAATTATAATCAAAACATATGAATCAGAGTTCATACCAGTGTTTAATATCACAACTTTCAAATAAATTATTGATGCAAAATAAAATAGAATTAAGATTTGTAACCTAATACAATGTACTCACCACTCACGTACGGAGTTACTTGAAACTACATGCAATATATGTGTACATTATTGTTTGTTCGCAGGAATGCAGGTATTGATTTCAAAATATAGTAAAGTATATTATGCTCACCGCTCACGTACGGAGTTACTCAAAGATCATCATACACATTAATTGGCGATAATTTAGCTGACTAGTTGAGGAATAATGATGATACATTTGGAACTTTAGGGATAATCGAATAAATGTGAGATATTTATTTCACCCAACCTTGATGATGAAAAGTGAATCTATAATGGCAAGCAACCATCATGATACAAACCTTATATATGCCCTTAAGTCAATTTCTACAGCTATAACTTTTTATATACAGCATTGAGAAAAAATGTGATTTTTAATAACGAAAAAAAGATATAATAAGAAAAAGGCATCGTGACTAAAATAAATGAGAAAAAGGCAGAGTTTGGATTTCCTAGTGGTTAAATGAGACAAAATATTGTTAGTAGTATATATATATAGGACCATGCATGGCATTGGGATATTTTAAGGAATACATGAAAAATGATAAGTAATAAATATAAAAATATTGTTTAGTAGCAACGTGACCATGTGATTGATATATTTTGAGAATTACATGAAAAAAATGTTAGAGATAGTGGATATAAAAATTATATTCATGTTCAGAATGATGTACTGTATTTACAATTAGACAAACTCGTAAATCAAATAATGCTAGAGAACTAATTGACCGCTGCGGATAATTAATTTACGGACATATGGAAAATAAGTTTGGACACTAAATTATTTATAATTCATCAAAAGTAATAAAAAAATGCACGCGTACAAATCTATACGTATAAATGGTGCGATGAATTGGTTGCAGATTCTTGAATCTTCTGAGCGCCAGAATTGGTATTCGAAAAATTTATAGTTATATTATAAGAGTAAAAGAATATCGCATTTAATAAATGTATACACTATACAGTGGGCTTTGGGAGTTAGTGGAGAAACAGAGGAATGTAGCTTTATTGGATCTTGTGAGTGACTGAGATAAATACAGCCCACTTTCGCTTACATATTTATCGTGTTTCTATGTACATATGTATTATATGTACTTGTGTAGTTGCCTATACATTCCATCAAACATTCAAATTGTCTTAGAAGACAAACAAAGTGGAAAAAAAACAAATTAAAGAAGAGAAAGGAGAAAAGAAAAGATACAAGCAATCTAAATAATCCGTTTTTAATATGAGTGGCATGGTGATTTGGTTTTTGATTCTCAAAGATGTCCACCCAAACTCAAATATTGTAATTTTGTAATTATAAACACGACATTGGACTAATTAATTGAAAATAAAATCCCCGTTAAGAATTGTATGAGTCATTAAGTGTCTTTCCTTTAAATTGTCATGACATTTGTATAGACTAGATACACTACAGTATAGTTTTATAGCCGGTTTAGATTAAATTTTATATATATAACAAATGACTTTTTTTTTTTGCCTTAATACAAATAACATTTGTTTTGTGATTCAGAATCATGAAAATGCACAAGTAGTTTATAATATCAAATTAAAAATTTCGAGTCCGTAGGTGCTATTGTTGACCCCCAAAAATTATTAATAAGTTCCAACGATTTTTATATATACTATAAAAGACATTAGCAATATTTTATAAGTACAGTTATATGATACAGTATATCTGAGATAACAGAATGCTCTTTACTTTCGGTCATGTATAATTAAAAAAAAAAGTAAGCAACAAGTATATTAAAATACGAAGTAAGTAATTTCCAAAAAGTAAAAGAAGAGTGGAAAATGGATGAGTTGCTCTTTTCTTGTCTTCCCCACACACACAAAACCATAATGCCCCAACCAACAAAAGCCAGACCATTAGACGCACTCCACAATCATCACCTTCATCATGACCTCTTCTCTTCTCCTTCATCCTCTTCTTCAAACCCTTAAATCCACCATTGTTAACCATAAACCCTTTCTCAACTTCACCACACTTCCTCACGCAGTTTCTTCCTTTTCTCCCTAAAGCCATGAACAAGAGCACTTCTCCTTTTCTTGTTCATACCTTTCTCCTTCTTTTTCTTCTTCCTTTCTTCGCTTTCTCTTCCTTAGCTCTCAAGGTTTCACCTCAACTCTTGTCTCTCATTTCCCTCAAGACATCTCTCTCTGGCTCTCCCTCTGCCTTTCAAGATTGGAAAGTCCCTGTTGCAACCGCTGATGGTCAAAACGACGCGGTTTGGTGTTCTTGGTCCGGTGTCGTATGCGACAATACAACGGCTCAAGTTATTTCCCTTGACCTCTCTCACCGGAACCTCACGGGTCGTCTTCCTCAACAGATCCGTTACTTGTCGAGCTTACTCTACTTGAATCTCAGTAGGAATTCCTTGGAGGGTTCGTTTCCGACTTCTGTCTTTGACCTCACGAAGCTCACTACTCTTGACATCAGCCACAACTCGTTCGACTCGAGTTTCCCTCCTGGAATCTCCAAGCTCAAGTTCTTAAAGGTTCTCAATGCGTTCAGCAACAACTTCGAAGGTCTGTTGCCTAGTGAAGTGGCTCGTCTTCGTTTCTTGGAAGAGCTTAACTTTGGCGGGAGTTACTTCGAAGGAGAGATTCCTGCAGCTTACGGTGGTCTACAGAGATTGAAGTTTATCCATTTGGCCGGAAATGTTCTGGAAGGTGATTTACCTCCGAGATTGGGGCTCTTACCGGAGCTCCAACACATCGAGATCGGTTATAATCAGTTTACTGGAAACATACCTTCAGAGTTTTCGCTACTCTCAAATCTTCAGTACTTGGACGTTTCCAATTGCAGCCTCTCTGGTTCTCTCCCTCAAGAACTCGGAAATCTCACAAAGCTCGAGACTTTGTTTCTTTTCCTTAACGGTTTCACTGGTGAAATCCCAGAGAGCTATAGCAACTTGAGAGCTCTAAAGTCTCTGGATTTGTCGAGTAATCAGCTTTCTGGTAGTATCCCATCAGGCTTCTCGAGCTTGAAGAACCTCAAATGGCTTAGCTTAATCAGCAACAACCTCTCAGGTGAAATCCCTGAAGGAATCGGTGAGCTCCCGGAGCTAACCACATTTCTTCTATGGAACAATAACTTCACCGGAGTTTTGCCTCAGAGGCTTGGATCAAACGGGAAGCTCGAGACGATGGATGTCTCTAACAATTCCTTTACCGGCACGATCCCTCCTTCTCTCTGCCATGGAAACAAGCTGTACAAACTCATCCTCTTCTCCAACATGTTCGAAGGTGAGTTGCCAAAGAGCTTAACAAGCTGCGATTCTCTGTGGAGGTTTCGGATTCAGAACAATCGATTAAACGGCACAATCCCGCTCGGGTTTGGCTCTCTGCGTAATCTCACTTACGTCGATTTGAGCAACAACAGATTCACCGACCAGATTCCGGCGGATTTCGCCACTGCTCCTGTTCTCCAGTACTTGAATCTCTCTAGCAATTCCTTCCACAGCCGGTTGCCGGAGAATATCTGGAAAGCGCCGAATCTACAGATCTTCTCGGCGAGTTCCAGCAATTTGATCGGCGAAATCCCAAATTACGTAGGATGCAAGAGCTTCTACAAGATTGAGCTGCAGGGAAATTCACTGAACGGAACGATTCCTTGGGACATCGGACACTGCGAGAAGCTCCTCTGCTTGAATTTCAGCCAAAACCATTTATCCGGAATCATCCCATGGGAGATTTCGACGCTTCCGTCGATCGCCGACGTAGATCTTTCTCATAATCTCCTGACGGGAACAATCCCGTCGGATTTCGGAAGCTCCAAGACCATCACGACCTTCAACGTCTCGTACAATCAGCTAATCGGTCCAATTCCGAGCGGCTCCTTCGCTCATCTGAATCCGTCGTTTTTCTCATCAAACGAGGGGCTCTGCGGAGATGTCGTCGCGAGACCTTGCAACTCCGACGCGGCCAGAGAAGCGGATCTCGACGCTCGTCATAACGAGCAGCGACCGAAGAAAACCGCCGGAGCTATTGTTTGGATAATGGCGGCGGCGATTGGGGTCGGATTCTTCGTCCTCGTCGCTGCCACTCGATGCTTCCAGAAAAACTACGGAGGCAGCAGAGTCGACGGTGGGAGAGGCGGTGGAGAGATAGGACCCTGGAAACTAACCGCCTTTCAGAGGCTAAATTTCACGGCGGATGACGTTGTGGAGTGTCTCTCAAAGACGGATAACATCCTCGGAATGGGATCGACCGGAACAGTCTACAAGGCGGAGATGCCAAACGGAGAGATAATCGCCGTGAAAAAGCTATGGGGAAAAAACAAAGAGAACGGCAAGATCCGGCGGCGGAAGAGCGGCGTACTAGCGGAGGTCGATGTCTTAGGGAACGTACGTCACCGTAACATCGTACGCCTCCTCGGATGCTGCTCGAATCGAGAGTGTACGATGCTACTCTACGAATACATGCCTAACGGAAGTCTCGACGATCTCCTTCACGGTGGCGACAAAACGACAAACGCGGCGGCGGAATGGACGGCGTTATACCAGATCGCGATCGGAGTCGCTCAGGGGATCTGCTATCTCCACCATGACTGCGATCCAGTGATCGTGCATCGGGACCTAAAACCTAGCAATATACTCCTCGACGCCGATTTCGAGGCGCGTGTGGCGGATTTCGGCGTCGCGAAGCTGATTCAAACCGACGAGTCCATGTCCGTCGTTGCTGGATCGTACGGTTACATTGCACCAGGTACCCTCGCTTTTTTGGGTTATTATTTACTTTTCCCCCTATTTTAAAATTTTTGTTCTTTTTAATCCGTATGTGTTTGTCCGTTTGTTAAACATTCTTTTTGTTGGGATGACACAACCTCTGACTATATGACATATCTGTTTTTGTTTGTTTCTTTCGGTTACAGAGTATGCATACACTCTGCAAGTGGATAAAAAGAGTGATATCTACAGTTATGGAGTGATATTACTTGAAATAATCACCGGAAAAAGATCAGTGGAACCGGAATTTGGAGAAGGTAACAGTATTGTAGATTGGGTTAGATCAAAGCTGAAGACAAAGGAGGATGTAGAGGAAGTTTTAAACAAAAGCATGGGTAGGTCGTGTAGTCTCATAAGAGAAGAGATGAAACAAATGCTGAGAATCGCATTGTTGTGTACAAGTCGAAATCCAACAGATCGACCACCGATGAGAGATGTGTTGTTGATTCTTCAAGAGGCAAAGCCGAAGAGGAAGACAATAGGAGATAGTGTCATCGTTCTCGGCAATGTCGGTGATGTTAATTTTGAAGCTGTTTGTGGTGCTGATGGTGATGCTGTTAAATGTCAAAAGATTGGGGCGTGATTGTTAATATGTCTTTGTATTTGGTGCTTTATGTAGTTGTAGTATTTTTGAAAGTTGTTAGTATATAAATATGAGTGTGTGTGTTTTTTTTGCATTTTTTGACGGCGTTTCTTTTTCTTTATATTAGTGACATGTTTTGATTTCCTGCTGTTTGGGCTCTTGGCCCATTTTCGGCCCGTAAATTTCACCATAACTCAATTTGTTGCTCCAACTCTCTTGTAAAACTTAAAAAGACTGATCATAATAAAAGAACATGCAAATCATCACGATGAACTTTTGTGTCTATTGTCTTCCTTCAAACACTATTGAAAATATCACTTACCATTATGCAAACCATCTTATAGTTATTTACTTATTGTAGTTCAAATTCGCTTTACTCTTAAAAATATATAGATGTACTGTAAATTTGTAACGGTAAAAGTGGTCAAAATTTAAAACGTTTCTCATGTAAATTTGGGGGGGGGGGGGGGGGGGGGGGGGGAGTGTTCAGTCACGCCCAAAAACATATGTTTTTTGAAATGCAAAGATACAATCAAACTTTAACATATGTTTTTGACTAAAAATCATGCATCAGAAACATATTTTTTTGATTAAAAATGTTTTTAAGATACACAAACGCAAAGAAACAATCAAATTAATGTAAAAAAAAAGAATCAAATTTTAACACCATTCAATGATATTTATTTAGCATGCTGCTTTTATTTATCTTTACTCATATCACTATTCATAAATTTATCGAATAAAATAAATAAATAAATAAAAAGCGTAGCAGAGTAAATAATGATACAATTAAAGAAAATTGAGAATGGTAACTAAGTAACAATTTGTTTTTATGACAATATTAGTATGTTAACATAAATATATATAAAAAAAAAATTCATAATTTCAAACTATGACTTTATTTAATTATATTTCCATTTAACGTATTATTCTTATTTATCTGTAGTCGTATATCTATTTATTTTTATTACACTATTACCATTTATATTTCTATTCCTAGTTTACTTAATAGATATATTTGAATTGAATATCTTTGACTTCAGTTAGTCAAACAAATCATAAAATTTATAAATTAACATGTATATAGTAAAAAAAAATCGAAGACTTTTAAAATATGTCTTATTTACGATGAATAGTTATTTTTATTTTGACTAGCATAATATTATGAAAAAATCTTCAATAATGTGAATAAACTTTAACCAAAGTTTTATTAATGTAGAAAAACAAACTAAAAAGAAAATGGTACAGCAACATAAAAAAAAACAAACACCATGTCTTAAATTTCGATCATCCTAGTCGATTAATCACCCAAATTCTACCCTTCATAGGTTCTATGTAACCACTCCGTTGAAGTCGACTAGCCGAGCATAACCGAACTTAATTACTTGGTTGGAGAAACACATAATGAACCTTCTTGTGTCCACCAAGTGCTTGACCAGATTCAAACACTCTGCCACATATTTCACACTCGTAATGTCGTTGAACCACTTGATCATTCTTCTCGCAAATCTTCACTCGCTTGGTCCTGTGGCTCGTTCGATGACCGCCTAATGCCTGATACGATTGTAAAACTTTTCCACATATATCACACATAAATTTTTTCTTACAACTTTCCTCTCTTGCCACCAAATATGTTTCATTATCCTCCTCCTCCTCATCATCATCATCGTTGTCCTCTATTAGGGTTTCCATACTTGAATTGAGAAGATGAACAACGTACTTATACTTGACTTTGCCTTCATCATCGGAATCTATTTCGATATAGTTTTCAGTTTGCTTATCTTTTTCGTCTCGAGCTAATGATAACAAAAATTGATCAATGGCTGTTGGATTCTGACTATTGTCAGGCTTCTCTCCCTTGGAAATTGATATAAGACATGAAGCACCTTCTTCGTGAGCCTTTAAACAAAGCTGAGACTCTGTCGCATCCACCTCGTCTACATCCACAACGATCTTTCTCTTGCCACTTATTTGTTGCCCACCTTCTTGTGTCTTCAGATCAGGTTTCGGACCGACACCAGCTTCACTGACGTGGACAGATCTCATCAAAACTGTTTCACGAGGTCTAAAGCTTGCGTCGAGCTTGTTGAATGTCTTCAGCGGTGGAATGGCCGAGCTAGTTGCTGATTCTACGTTTGATGCAGAAAGTTTCCGAGTGTGAGATCTCATGTGACCTCCTAAAGCTCTCCCATTTGGAAATGCTTTGTTGCATACTTGGCAGATTTTGGTTTTCTTGAGAAGTGAATACATCATTACGATGAGAAAGAAACAAGAAGAAAAATGAAGAAGCTAGAGATTTTGTTTGCTTTTGCTGCGAGAAATGTTTATTTGAAGTTGTTGGTATGTGGTTTTGTGTCGATGGGAGGTATTTATATAGCTCTAGAGAGTGAAAAACTTGAGCACGTACAGAATTCTATTCAAAATGAGTTAATACTTAACATAAGTGTTTTATTCAACATGCTCAACATGTTCAACCAAAAAAAAAATGCTCTAACAATTAGGGTCATAATATATGTAATTTATCTTTTTTTATAAAACTATAATTGATAAAACTAAAAAAGATTATTAATCAGTATTCAAAAATTGCCTTTGGAAACTCGTTAATTAATTAATAAGTCCAACTGATTAGTATATCAAGTGATTTAACTCTAGCTTTAGAAAAGAAAAGTATTGCAACAAAATTGGTCAACAACTAAAATAAGAGTTTAAGACCATGTTAAACTCTATCTTAATACCATCCTCCTTTTTATTAGTAGAAGTCAACAAAACGAAGTTTCACGAGAAACAATAACTTGTCTTTGGGCAATTCAATGTTGAGCCTAAAAACAAGAAATGGCTTCTCTAGGAAGACCTGGTGGTCTGCAAACCCACCATAGATGATATAAAGTGTTATTAAGGAAAAAGAAAACGAGTTTAGTGGGCTGGAAAACATTGTGGCCATTGGGCCCACATTAAGGTGATTATAAGGCCCATTGTTTGCTCGTGATAAGATCTCCAGAAGATCGGACGGTCAACACGGACGTAGTTAGCATACACGCGACGTACGGTAGCCTTCTCTCTTTCCCGCCCTAAGCACCTCATGAATGTAACTTAGTTCCTTTTTCTAATTTGTTACCTCGAAATCAGCCGGAGTGAGAAACCCTAAAACGCGACAGCCATGGCAAAATCTGGGGCTCGACCCAGTGATTCCTTCATCAAACAGCGTTCTGGGTCGGGAACGATCCTTAGGATTAAGCTTGAGAACTTCATGTGCCATAGTAATCTCCAGATTGAGTTTGGCGAGTGGGTCAATTTCATCACCGGCCAAAACGGAAGTAAGTGTTTCTTCCCTTTTTTTTTAATAAAAAATTGATCTTTACCTCTCTGATCGACTGAATTTACACACGCACACCTTACTGGGATTTGGGTTTCGCCGAATTTGGAAATCTCCTCTTTTGGATTTGTTCATTGTATTGACACAATTCAGGCTTAAATCTGTCCTTTGATTTAGAATTGGTTTATCTTAGAGGGTACCACAGTCATGCTTATGAATTTATCTCGAACTTCTGATCGTTTTTTTATTAACGATGTCGCTTCATGTGTTACAGGTTACGCTTTTATTGTTTTGTGATCTTATTTGTTGTGTGTTCAATAAAATCAGGTGGTAAGAGTGCAATACTGACTGCTCTATGTGTTGCATTTGGGTGTCGAGCGAAAGGGACTCAGCGAGCTTCCACTCTGAAGGATTTCATAAAAAATGGATGCAGGTTTGTACACTTGTGCTGTTATCCTATCTAAATTATCAGGTTTTGAGGTTAGAAACAGCGCAAAGGCACATTTTTTGAAGTGGCGCTTTGTTGTCTCTTGTCATGGTTTAAGAAATGACTGTCTTTTGCTTCTTGTCGAGATTAATGGTAAGAGTGACTGAAAATTTCCAATCTCATTGGGGTTTCGTTGCAGCTATGCCGTTGTTCATGTAGAAATGAAAAACCAAGGAGAAGATGCTTTTAAGCCTGAAATATACGGTGACGTCATAATTATCGAGCGTAGGATAACCGACTCTACTAGTTCTACCATTCTCAAGGATCATGAAGGTTAATTCATTGTAGCCTCTCTCTCTGCTTCAGTTTACACATCTGTCTCATAGGCCGTGTGATGCTTTTGTGATTACCGTCTCTGTTCTTATTCTCTTTTCCACCAACTCTTTCTGTGTGTTTTGTGTTTATAAAATTATTGAAAGCTTTCTGTTTACTTATTTCAGGAAAAAAGGTATGTAGTCGAAAGGAGGAGCTACGGGAACTTGTTGAACATTATAATGTGAGTTTTTTTGTCTTTCATTGAAATTTAAAAGTATTAAGTTATATCAGAAATACTTGTTATTTCTGGTCTTGTATACTCCCTTAAAGTTTCTAATCATATTAGACATATTTGCATATCCATTACTAAATCCATCCAGCTTATGTTTAACATTTGCAGATTGATGTTGAAAACCCTTGCGTGGTAATGAGTCAAGACAAGAGCAGGGAGTTCTTACACTCTGGAAATGACAAAGATAAATTCAAGGTATCTCCTGTGAAGTGGTATATATCAAAGTTAACCATGTTGATGTTTTGGCTGAAAAGTTCTTGTTTTTTTAGTTCTTTTTTAAGGCAACCCTTCTTCAGCAAGTCAATGATCTTCTCCAAAGTATCTACGAACACTTAAAATCTGCAACTGCAATAGTTGATGAAATGGAGGACACAATTAAACCAATAGAAAAAGAGATCACTGAGTTACGTGGAAAGATAAAGAATATGGAACAAGTTGAAGAAATAGCACAAAAGTTGCAGCAGTTGAAAAAGAAACTTGCTTGGTCATGGGTGTATGATGTGGATAGGCAGATCCAGGAACAGACTGAGAAGATTGTGAAGCTTAAAGAACGTATACCAACTTGCCAAGCTAAAATAGACTGGGAACTGGTAAGGCGTACATACTTTGCTATAAAAATTCATAAGTTGCAAGCTTTAACTTCTCTCTGATAT